ATTTGAAGTCACTTAATATTAGTGTGGTTTATAGGTGACAGCCACCATATAAATTTGAAATTGAATTAAAAAACTGTATTATAAAAAAATACAAGAATGCAAGTTTACTTTCATTATATAAAATCAATATAAAAAAGTGAATTCCAATATTGTAACTCACTTTTGTTATATAGAATCAAATAGTTTTAAGTTAACAGGTCATTCAGATTATATTAATATTATAATCTGAATTAATGCTAAATTGTAATTACTAAACCTGAATTAAAAAACTCAGGTCAATCTATTAGGTTATCTGAATTTAGTCAACCTATTTAAAACTTTATAATTTTTTATATGTTTATAATAATAATAATATTGTTTATATTTAACTTTATTTATTTAAAAGTATTATTAAGAATTAAATTTATTTTAAAAGAATATATATAATAAACTAATATTACTAACAGCTATTTAATTAGTTGTAATAAGTATTATAAAGTATAAAATATTATATTATTATTATATAATTATTAATCAAATAAATTTTACTACATTACATATTGGCTAATAAAAGAAGTCTCTAAAAGTTTGGGAAATATTTTTGTAATCAGTTAAGAGAGATTATCATAAAAATTATCAGCCAATAAATTAAACTACGCCTACTTCTGATGTTTATATTTACCACTTTACATTTATTGTAATAATTGTATATATTCATGTCAATATTCTAGAAATTTATTTCACTTTCAACTATTTTTATTAAAAGAAGCAATGGTTAAGTACCCATTTGTTATAAATAATATAAAAGATAAATAGCTTTGGATAATTATATGAAAACTATTAATGAAGCAAATAGTGAAAAATTAGGAATTTATTAGTTACTACTGAAAGCAACAGTAAAAATTAAAATAGCAATATTTTATGAAATAAAAAATAAATTAAAACAATATGCTAAATATATGAGTTCTTATAGAGTAAGAATTAAATACATAAAAAGTAAATTCTTTTGGATTTTTAATGGTCATATACATTAATATAATTAAAAATCTGGTAATTACAAGTGTATATTTCATGATGAAGAGGCTTATAATATTTTAAGTTAGATTTTTAATAATACTAATTGAAAGGTAAAATATTTTAGTTATTTATAAAAAACATTTGTATTAATTTATGTACTATCTCAAGATAAAAATGATCCCAATTTTCTTTAATATTCTGATGATATTAATATAATAATAAAAGCAGATCTACTTTAAGAATTTGATTCAAATTTACAAAAAAAAAAAAACAAAACAAAAGTCCATTCAAGTTACTGTAAAATGGAAAGAGAAAATTAGTTTAGATGTATAAAATATAGTAAATTCTATAGATTATATATTAATATCTTTTATAGTATCATAAAAAAGAGTAATTTAATGTACAATATTGTAGATGCACATAAATATATTATAATAAAATTATATTTCCTAGCATATTAGTAAATTAGTAAAATATTTAAATTAAAAAATATATCTATATTTTTTTAATATAAATATTATATTATATTACCTCCATTAATTTCTAACTAATTTATTATATTCATAATTTTTTAGTTTTGGAAGATTGCATAAAATATCATTACAATAATAATAAAGAATTCTATTTTCATGTATATCATATTGTTTCCATCTTTTATTATAAATATCATTGTTAAATGTAATATATATTATATAAAATACAAATTCAAATATTTTGATAGATCATAGTATTTGGGATAATGGATTAGGAGAAACAATAAATTAGATGTAATTTACATAATAATATATATAATAAAAGGAGGGTTAAATATGATTCTATATACTGTTGTGAAAAGAAGTTTAAATATATAAAAAAGGAAATGTTTTTTTAAGTTTTAGAGAATCAGATTATATAATATTAATAGTTTTATGAGAATAATTAAAGCCTAATTTCTCCAATTAGCCAATATGATTATTTTAATTTTAACCATTTTAACCTATTTTTATCATTAGTATGTAATAGGTGAAAGATTAAAAAAAAAAATATAATTATACTTATCTTATATTATTCATTAATTTTAAATGCATTTTGTAAACTCATATATGCTTTAAATAGAATCATTAATGAAACTTAATTATATTTGAATATTTTTTTAATATTTCTGAACCAATTTCAAATACTAAAATAGTTTCTAAGATTATACTAGTATTTGGGCAAAAAAGGCTATTAAATTCATATATCCTTTACTGTAAATTCTAAAGAAAAGATCTTTAAAATGGATTTTATCTAATTAGCAATAGTATTTACTGAAGCTAGTATATGTAGTTCTTTTATAATGAGAAAAGTGCATATCTTTATTTATATTATTAAAATAATTCAATTAAAATTTATCTGTAATACTTAAAAAAAATATAATAAAAGTACCAGAATGGTAATTGTTTAGAATAGCTATTATGAGTTTTTTTAATGTAATAAATAGTAATATGATGTATCCCCTGCTATTAAATTTTATAATAAATGTATGCTTAACTTTTTTTTTAAAAAAAAAAGGAATAGGCATTAAAACAAAAGTATTTGAATTATACTTGTAGCCGAAACCTTTTCACGTGATTTTCAGCCACGTCTTTAAATCAAAATTAAGTTAAAAAATGATAAAAATTAATCTTTACATCCAGCCAAAACTATAATATAAAGTCTTTGAAGTTTCGGATGGATTTCTGGATAGTTTTTAACAATTTATTATAATTAAATTACTGAAAGTCCGAAACCCTGTCCAGCTTCATAGAGGTTTCAGCTACATGTATAATTTGAATTATATAAAATAATAGCCAAAAGAGGATAATTTACAAAATAATTTCTTATTATAATAAATTAAATAGTATAAAACTAATTTTAACTTAGAGTGGTTTAATCTAGATGATTTAACCTACTAGTAAATTTTATATAATTATATAATTTTGCCCAAATTTTTTAAAAAAATTTATACATTCATTATACTCTATAATATCCAAATAAATAAAATCNGGAAAATATGGAAAAGTGCGGTAAAAAAGGTAAAAAAAAAAAAAGATTGATGTAAAATATAAATTCTGGAAGGTGATTCACCCAGGTTATTTAACCCAGGGGCAAGTTAATTAAATAATAGTAATTTTAAATATTTAGTATTAATATTAATTAGAAAATGAAATTCCATTTAATATATTTATAATTATAAAAGTAATGTAAGGAACAATACAAATTTTTACAAATTTAAAATTAGTTTTTTTAATTGTACTTTTAAATAATAAAAATATAATAATAAAGTTTTCGGCAGTTTTCAGTTATTTAATAATATTGTAAATAAAATAATAATAATGTTCGCATCTGCAGGAGGTTTTAACGGCTTAACCTTAATTACGTTTTTGTAATTACGCGAAACCTAACTAATAAATAAGATTCATGGGCATTAAAGAAAAATGTAAACTGAAATAATTCAAAATAATAAAAATTCTATTGGATAGTATTTTATATTAATATTATTTCAATACAATTTATTTTAAATTGATTTTTTAAAAATACATCTTGTATTCAACCGATATTTTTTTTAATTATAGATTTAATATATTTAGCAATTCTTTTAATTCTACTTATGTTTAAGGCAATTATCTATTAAAAGAGCATTAATATTTAACGGTTATACCCGTTTGGTATTATCAATTATCACATGATGCCAGAAAGAAATCAGCTAATATGCGGCGCATAAGGAGTTTTACCTCTCAGAGTTACCTGCTAGAATTAATTTATACATAACTTTCGGTATCATGCTGATTAAATAAATTAGTTATTGCAAATAGTTTGTCGATATAAAATATTTGCTTAATCTTACAAAAGGATTTGTTTCAAGTTAAATATAATTTATCTTACAAAAGGATTTGTTTCAAGTTAAATATAATTTTTGTTCTCATTATCGAAAGTGGTAAATGATTCCATACCTCTACGTTATCTTTTTAATGATAATTCAGCTATTGATGCTTCATTTACATACATTTACATATAAAAAGTCCAATTGCAAATAAGAAATCACATCTTTGAATGGAGACGGTCATATAATTCTAAGCCGTAAAAAATCACAACAGATCGAAAATATAGAATACTTATATTTAGTACGACCGCATGATTTCAAAATTCCAGAAATTACTAGCATGGTGAAATAAAAGATTTTGATTTGTCATAATGATTGCCAAGCTTTTAATGTTGACAAGATGATGAATATACAAATATGGCGAATAATAAATTTTTACTCATCAGATATTCAGATTTACGATAAAATAAATGAATATGATAATCATTACCAAAGCGAAGATATGAAAATTAAAGCTTTTTGACACGAGTAATCTGCGTAGGTCAATCCCATAATTTTAAAATTTTATACAAGTAATTATAGAATGCTATGACTAATACTCATACTTACCTGGCGCGGCATCTCTGTTATCAATGAAGGCAAAGATGCGGGTGGTGGCTGCTGGCATTGCACTGCGCCAGAGGCTATTGCTCCGAACACTCATAAAAGTGTCTCGAGCGCACAATTTATGATTGTTGGGTGATCATGGTTCGCCGGGATTACCCTTAAATTCTATTTAAATAAGCGGGTTGGGTGATAAGTGATAAAAGGAAAGTGATGAAAAATAAAATAAATATCATAAATATATATATTTGTAAATAATGCAAATAAATTCATTGTTTGTACAAATTCTTTTTTGTGAAATTTCTCCTTGTGGCCCTTGTGGTCCTTTGTTAATTTAAATATAAATTCCATTGAAATTGAAATTATCCTTTAATTTTCTCATTCTTCGTTTTCATTAGTTTTACTATAAAGTAATATGAACTAATACAAGTCTTGATTCACGTCATTTTTGTCACAATCTAACTCCTAGTCAATCAGGTGATAATCATTTTCATGTGTCATTATTTATTCATTCATTTTCAAAACTAGTTGCTTAAATAAAATTTTTCTCGTTTTTTAGTGAATTCACACGATCTTTCAAATGACGAGCACTAATAATTTATGTAAAAGTAATTCTGAGAGCGGTCTATTCGAGGAAAACTCTTGCGGGAGTTCAAGTTCTGTAGAATATGAAGGAATGAAGTATAGGTGGGAGCAATTTAGAAACACGACTGAAAGTAATGATAATTTTGCGGAAGAATTTATAAACGAAGCAGAATCTGAAAAACCGTCTCAAGAACCTAATATTGAGAGTAATGATGATAACGTATCAGAAGATAAAATGTGTCGTATATGTTTTGCTGGAGCCGAAGAAGAAAGTAGTCTTGGTCGTCTAATTTCGCCGTGTCTATGTAAAGGAACTATGAGGGTAACTATAATGATAATTTTATTTTACACGTTTTTTTAAGTATTTATTTTAATGCATTGACTTATATTATATCAATTAAAAGTATGTTCATGTGGAATGTTTAAATCAATGGAGATTAAGAAGTCAAAAAAAATCCAGTTTTTTTCAGTGTGATGAGTGTAAATACAAATATGCGTTCCGAAGAACAACAATAGCTAAATTTGCTACTAATGAATGTAAGTGAAAAAAGTTACAAATTTATTTATTAATTCTTGAATGGGCAAATTCTCACTAATTAAATTTGTTATAAATACTATTATTTTGAATTGTCCAATAAGTTGTTCTTACACTTGTTACATTATCATTCTTTGTATTTTGTGTTTTCATGGGAGGTTTTCTTGCAAAATTTCTCCTTTATCTTTATCCTATCTCGGGCGATTTCGAAGATGATAATGATATTGAAGAAGATGAAGAGCCATTATTTAAAGAACCTATAACAATAGCAACAATATTTACTATTGACTATCTTCATGTCACGTTAGGGTTTATGCTTGTGGGTATTATAGGATTTATACAATTATTATTTTCTATAATGTGGTTTGGTCCAATTCCTTCATGGAATACGTTTAGGTTCGGACCAACCGGAGGTAGTGTTGGAAGAGGACGAAATGATGGACTAGCGGGTATTTTTATAGGTGTTATTGTAGTAGTAGGCGTTCTTAAAGCTGTATGGGGAATGTATAAATTGGTTAGAGGAGCAAGTAGAAAATTATTGGAAAGAGTCGAATTAACAATTCTTGAAGTGAACGAATCGTAATTGCAATTTTAGCTATCTTTGCCTAAATTATGATCCTAAGTTATTTATTTATTTTTCATAAGTAAATTTCTTTATTTACACTTCAAAACAATAATAATTGCAATTTTTGTTAAGTAATTTGATAAATATTTTACTACATTCCTTTTTTTTGGAGAATCTAAAGAATAAATTTATTTTTAGTGATTAGAATAGTAGATAATCATGAGCATGTGATATTTGATCGCCGTATCACGAGCATATCAATATAAAAAAAAAAAGCATTTTTTTAGCTTTTCATTTATTTTTTTTTTAAGTTTAAAAATGGCAACCACAAATGATAAAGAAAACTTTGTTAATTCATTAATAATTAAATATGTAGATGCATTAGATATTGAAAGAGCATTTCAATTAGAATCTGAAGGTTTTAACATTATTCAAATATTATTTTTAATAAAATAATGAATAAGGCCTTTTTTTTTCATAATTTAAAAATTTTAACATAGGATATCCACCGGAAGAAGCAGCAACGTTAGAAACATTAAAATATCGACAAAAAGTGGCACCTAAATTATTCTTAGGCGTATACCTTCCATCTTCTTCTTTATCACCCTCACCACAATTAATTGGTTACATTGTATCAACATCGACATTATCTGAAACATTAACTCATGAATCAATGACTTTACATGAAAATGAAGGCAAAACTGTTTGTATACACTCTGTTTGTGTAGATAAACGTTATAGAAGATATGGTGTTGCTACTAAATTATTAAAAGAATATATAAGTTTATTAAAGAAATCTGATAACGAAGTAAAATATAAAAGATGTGCTTTATTAGCTCATGAATATTTAATACCCTTATATCAAAATGTTGGATTTAAATTAATCGGAGAAAGTGAAATTGTTCATGGTAAGAAAATAAAAATATATATTATATTTCTTTTCATGGAAAAAAAATTGTTAAAAAAAATAATTACAATAATTTTTTTTATTATTATTATTAAGGACCTGAGAAATGGTTTGATTTAGTTATGGAATTTTAGGAATTAATAATTATTTCTAAGTATTAAATACTTTTGTTTAAAAAATAACATCTCTTTTGTTTTTTTTAATCTGTTTTTTGTCCCTCTTTTTCTCCGATTAAAGTTAACCAATTCATGTATTCAATTTTAACAATATCTTTAACGGATGAATTATCCCTTATATAAAAATATCTAGCTAAACGAGACTCAATAATTATTTTAAATATGCCTAAAGGTCTAATTATTTTTTCTAATAAAATATACCAAAATATTGCAAAAGTTAAACCAAATATATTACCAACTATTACTTGTTTTGTTGTATGATAAATTAAATATACCCTAAAATTGATGATAATTGATGATTTTTTTAAGTTCCCTGTTTGTGAAAAATTCAAGACAGAAAAAAAAATAAATTACCTTGAATATGAAACTAAACATGAAAATATTATTAGTCCAAGAATTATTGGAAATTTCCGAGAATTATTATGGAAAGTAATTCTATCATATTGGTAATAATAAAAAAATTAAATGAATGAATAATTATCAAATCTTTTTATTTAAATCAACTTACTTGTAATACAAATAAATACTAGCAAAAGTAGCAAAATAAGAAATAAATTGAGCATGAGAAGATGGCATTCCATATCCTGAGCCAAGTTTATCTATATATACATATATTAATAAAGTATTTCTTTAAAAATCCATCATTTGTCTTTAATTATACATGCCATTAGGTCTTTTTTCCTTTATCCATTTTTTCAATCCAAAATTTAACATTTCACAAAATAATTGACCAAAAAACATATTAATCATCATCAATTCTCTTCTAGCAACAATAATACTAACATAACTTATTAAAATAATTAAAGGTGATAAAGTTATATACGCATAAGTATATGAAAGTGGGTCTTTTGGATTAAATTCTACATGTGTTAATGAAAGTGATGATAGTGATTGTTCTGACAATGGTTCTTCTAAATGATTATGATGCGACATATTGACTCAAAAGATAAAGAAAGATTAAGGGAACAGAATTTGGGCCTTTATATAAATTAATTTGTTGTTGTACAAGTAAATTCATTCACGTGCCAAACTAATCCGTTCATTTTATAAAGTTAATCTTCACGTGATTCACTTAAAAAATAGCGTCCTTAATATTTATATATCTAAGAAAAAACGTATATATACATCCATCATTTTAATATCATTATTCTTGACTAAATATCCTATAAGACCTAATTGTCCTAGAATTATCATTGTCTATATCATCACCTAAATCCGTCGAGCTAAAACTTCTCTTCATACCTTTAACTCGATTTCCCCCAAATCTAACCGCTTCTAGCCTTCTCGATATATCTTCATCGGGTATAAGAGATAAACCCGATGCAGATACAGATACAAAAGATGAAGATTCATGAACTCCTATGTTATTAATATTATTTGTAGTATCAGCTTGAGAATTAGACATACTAGAAATTTCTCTGTTGTCTACATTATTGATATTTATCCCATCAACATTAAAAGGATTTAAATTATGATAAACATTTTCATCGTATGTATAAATCATATGATTTCTTGTGTTAGAGTTACCACTATCATGTGTAGATACTCTAGAGCATGAAACTGGCATGTAATTTTCATCAGCAGTTGAGTATGAACTCGTGTCTTCTGATGTACGAAATATTGGTGCAATTGGATATTCTCTTTCTTCACTATTGTCCGTATTTTGATCTATTTGATTTGATGCATTTAACGCAGCCTCAATTTCCCTATGTGGTTGATTCCCATATTCCATATGAGACCCAGAAATTTTTCCTTCAATTTTGATATATCTCTCAATTTCTCCACATAAATAAAACGGTTGAGGTTGGTATACATCTTCTGTATCTAAATCACTAAAATGGGCATTAAATTTACATTTTAACGAATTAATGAGACATACCACTCTCTCAAAAGATTTTCGATTAATTCTGATATCTACTGGATTATTGATTTCATAACGATCATTTTTAAACCTTGGTATAGTTAACCATGATTCAGATACAAATTCATCATCTGATGTAGTTAAATTAATGACTTTTAAATTTTCTGGTGCAAACAAGAATCTAATAGTATCATTCTTACAATTTCGAGGCCAACATTCTTTCAAATCTTCCGAATTAATTGACCAGTGATTTTCCTCTGATGAAGGATCTTCATTAAGTGGAATCAATACTTCGTTGATTTCAGATGTTTTATGAGATATATTATTACAAAAGATATTATGTTTTGATTGAATCGAACGCATTCTCCTATAAACTTCAAATATCACCAGGTCTTCTTCAGAAAGACTATCTGATTCTTCAATTATAATCCGTAATGAACTCACATCCACTGTTGTCCTAGAAAAAATATCTCGAATGCTTGTCGAAAATATAGTATACATTTTTGGACTTTCCATTTGAAAGCTGTCAAATAATTTGCGATATAAAGTAACCAAAATACTTAAAGCAGGGGTGTTTTTTGTTTTAATAACAAGTCTATCCCGGTGCACAACAAAAGTTAACTCGCCATTGCATTTAGACAGTTCTTGCATCAGTTTATAGAAGATAGGCAGCTTATTTTCTGCAACTTTTGCAGAGAAGGTTTGAATAGGCATATTTGAAACGCGTAGAAAGTTATAGTTATGTACTAGGGTAACCAAAAACGGGCCAAGTTATTGATATCGAATCAAGAGATTATTCAACTTCCGCGTTTAGTGAAATATTCAAACATTAATCATGATAATCATGTGATATAACAATAACATATGATATAACACTGATTGATATTTTGTCACATGGCCGTTTCATGAGGTTGGCCCGAATTTTACTAATTCTGGTGGGATTAAACCAAAGGATTGTTTGTTCTAAAGACAGAATTTGGATCTACATTTTCGGGGAGCACAAGTTATGTAATATTATAACAAACAATTGTATTATTTCTTTATTCGTAAATTGTAATATTGCAGAAATTGCATTGTCTTTAAATTTAATTTCCTATTATTCTGGAGATTATTTTATTAATACATCGATTTTTATGGAAGTAAAATTAATAAGGTTTTTTCCGTACAAATTTAAACAAATCTAGCTGTAACACCAATATACTATTTTCAAAGATAAAAATTATGTTATTATAATATTGTTAAGACTTAAGACAATATTAAAAGAATTGATACTTTTTTAAGATTATCTCGTAAAAACCAATAATAATTACACATCGTGACAACATGAAACCAATAAAAAGCGAGTAAAGGAGAAAAAGCGAAAAAATAATAAATAGAACAATGTAAATTATAAAATGTGATAATATTATTGTTCGTGCATACAATGAATTTCTGGCGTTACGTACGTAAATCATTATGGTGAACAAGCTACTTTAGAAAAATAAATAGGGGCGACTAGCTTCAAAGTAACTTAATCACAATATTACAATATATATTGTTCAATGTTGTTTATTATATATATATATTTACCCAATTATCTCATTATAGAATATCAGCTAAAGATATAATACTTACCTTAATGTAACCCTATAAAGAATACAAAATGTTCAAAAAAAATATATATATAAACAAATAATACCCTACATACTTGCATATAACTATAATTTTATGATTTATATAAAGAGAACATTATTCTGTAACGAATAAATATCTTTCTCTCTAAACTCTCTTTTTTTCAATTTTCTTAATTATTCGTAATACATAATACACAAACTGTGCTGACCACGTTTATCTTATAATCTTTGTGCATTTATTTTTCGATTTCAAAAGAAATAAAGAAATTTAACATTACCTTCTTCAAAGAAATAACCATGATTGTTTCAATCCCAGCAGGTAAATATTTAAAAATATTTGTATCATTTGATCAAATTGAACGAGAAAAAAATCTAATTCTTTAACTTTGTATTAGATTACGATCTTTTATATATCGTATATCATTTCCGTCCACTCATACAATTATCATTACTTTTCATTCTCATAACATTCTTCTCATGGTATTTTCGTAAGTATCAATCTTTTCTAAAAAATGAGTTTCGTTTCTACGCCACAATGAATTTATTTGAGTTTTCTCCTTCTTTCCTAGAATTGATAATAATGGAAGTTTTGCCAATAATTTCTTCGTCGAAACATATCATGATTAAACTAAAAGCACAAACAATACCCCAAAGACAAATCGATTTTATAAATAATCACCCAGATGAAAATATATTTCGATTTGATAATATTATCAGAAATTTATGGCCGATTTCGTTAGTAACATAACCATTACTATAAAAACTATTTTATTTTATTAATGTAATACATCATTTTTATATATTTTATATATTTTATATTTTTTTTTTGTATATATTCTTTTTATTTTATTTTTTATTTTTCTCTATTTTTTATTTGAGTATATAATATTATTATAAATAAGCAAATAAATATGTAAATTAAATGATTAATTTTTTTGATTAAATAAATTTTGATAATTTTTTGATCAAAAAAATTTAAAAAATGGTAAATTTATTTGAAATTAGTTAATTTATAAACTCTTGTGAAAGATATTTTATTTTATTTTATTTGAATTTTGAAAAACGGAGCGAAAAATGAATGTTTATCGAAATTTCTTTTTATTAACAATCTATTTGGTATTAACCATTAGTCCAACTACTTTAAACGAAAAAACGATCATACATTGTAATTATAAAACCTAAAAAATAATGCCGTTTCTACTAACATTGATAACACGATTTCCCAAACTATTTCTTCAATTATTCAAGATGATGATTTATATCAAAGTCATTTATCCTGGATAACATCATCTCAACAAACTGGAGATCCGAGGTTATGTTGGTTTGTTTGAACCAAAATTTGTCGATGAGATTTTGAGTAAAAGAAACGATGTTGAATTAATTATTCCGGATAGGGAAGTACAAGTTACTTATGATTTACGTGGTGATAATGATAATTTTAGCTGTAGTTTAGAGAAAAAAATTGGTACAAAGAAGCAAGAAAATCCAACATGGGTGAGTTCCATTTATTTTTTTTTCGTAATTATATAAATTATATAATTCAAATATATTTTTAGAATTTGGGTAAAATTGACCAGCGTAGACTGCCTCATACATGTTTCTAGCTACAGGAGGCAGTGGGGTGAACATTTATGTAATCGATATGGGAGTACTTTCAATTCCGTTTATCTTTTGATATAATTACAATGTTTTCTATAATTTTTTTTTTTTTTTTGTAGTGCGAATAAATATTAATCAGAAGGAAGAGCTTCGTGGGGCATAAACGTTCGAAAAAATGCTTCAGATGTCGATGAATACGGGTATATTTGAATATTTGAATATAGTGAATGTATTCTTTTGAATAACTTAGACAATTTTTTTTTTCTTTTTTTTATGTTACGACTTACGTGTACGCAGACATGGAACTCATGTTGCTGGAATTGTATGTTAAAAAAAATTTTTTTTTCTATTGATTAATCTTGTTCTCATAAAATTTATTTTTCTACATTTAAAGATTGCCGGTAACGCTTATTATAATTTAACAAAAAAAAACCAATAATCTTATTTGTTAGGTGTGATTTAAATTATTAATTAATAAACGTTCATGGAGTTGCCAAGCTTGTTAGAGTTATTGCTGTTAAAATACTTGGCAAGGAAAGAAGAGGGGCCTGGAGCGATGTATAACAGGGTTGAATTGGGTAGCTCAACAACATAAAGCCGATTCAAGAAAACGAACAATTGTCAAGTAAAATACTTTAATTGATATTTCTTCTAATGATTAGTATCAAACGTTATTATCAAATTTTTATTATTGTAGTCTCTCGTTAACGGGAAAATATTTTCCACTAGCAAATGCAGCTATAAGGGCCTTTATTGACCTTGGAATTCATGTGACAGTAGCAGCAGGAAATTATTTTGGAGAAAATTCATGTTATTCTTCAATCTTCACCGGCTTCAACACAGGAAGTTATTACTACTGGTGCTACCGGCATTGACGATTTAATTCCGATTTTTAGTAATAGTGGTCTGTGCGTAGAGACCTATTTGCCTCAGGTAATATATAAATAACTAATATTCGTGTGTGTTATAACTTCAAATTGGTTTGGTATTAATGGAACTAAGACAATGTCAGGTACAAGTATGGTTTCGCCACATGTAGCTGGTGTTATAGCTTTAATTATCAGTCAACGAGGTAATATGGCACCCGCCAAAATGAAGGAATTACTTAAATCAATGGCAACCTATGGTGCATTAAAAAATGTTGAACTAACAGCTTCTAATATAATTCTATATGTAAATAAATCAATCTAATATCATTATATAATATATATTAATTTATTTCAAGTTAAAAATTTTTTAAGTAGATTCTCTTAGTAGTAACTTTTAACCAACCAAGAACTTATGCAAATGATCGATTATAACGTAAAAAGTATCATAAGAAAAACGTATTAACCTTTGAAAAAATGTCCATAGATCCCATGACACAAATGAAAATAGTTCATACCAATAAGGAAACCGCCAAATCATCTGTCGTTCGAGTAAATAAGTTAACAATGAATTCTTGCTATTTATTTATATAAATTTATTACGTATTATTATTTATTATATATTTATTATATTTGAAAGCCCTATAAATAAATTTTATACTTAAAAATATATTTAAATAATTTATACTTAAATTATATTTAATTTATACATAATAAATTTGCCCATTTAAGTATATTTTTATATATTTAATTTATACTAATAAATTTTGCTCATTTCAGCATGTTTTAATAAAAATTTTTTATAGGGAAGTCAGCAAATTTTTTTATAGGAAAGAAATTTGATTATGATTCATATTGGCGTGAATTTACATAGTGGTCAATAACTTTTTAAGTTAGACGTGAAAATTAGATCGTATTGATCGTAACAATGCATAAAAAAATGCATAAATTAAAAAAGCTATTCTATTTTATCACCAAAATTTGTGAAGTACGCCAAAAATCAGATTATCTTATTGTTAAATCTCCCAATACTCGCCTTTTAATGATGTCATTTTGATTTCATTAAGTGATATATAAAATTCGGTAATAAAAAAATATTTGCATTCATATTGCATTTTCAAACAACACAATGCTCGAGTCTCTCGTTGCTAACGTGTTGAACCGTTTTCTTGGAGCTTATGTCTCCAATCTTGAAGTTAACCAACTTAATATTGCAATATGGACAGGCATGTCTACAAATGTGGTCTTGCATTGAAGGTTGTTAATTTACGTTATATATTTATATTAATTTTTTTAAACGTCTTCCTTTAAAAAAGGTGACGTCGTATTAAGAAATTTACAACTAAAGAAAGAAGCTCTTGACAAGTTTAATTTACCTATTGATGTCTTAGAAGGTGTGATTTTTTTGAAAAAATTAATAAAATTTAAATAAATTTAAGAATTTATCATGAAAATTTTTTAATGTGAAATATTTTAGGATACCTTGGGGAACTAACACTTAATATCCCTTGGTCGAATTTAAAGAATAAACCTGTTAAAGTTTTCATAAATAATGTTTATCTCTTAGCGGTTCCAAAAGCCGAATCAGAGGTTAAGATCAAAATTTTTGATTTAAAATATTTTAAATTTTGCTATTGATAAATTATTGTCGTTAATAGTATGATACTGAAGAAGATGAGAACCGGGCTCAACAAGTTAAACAAGAAAAATTAGCAAATGCTGAATTGTTAAATACTCAAATAACTGAATCGACAGGTGATTAAATTAACATATATGATTAAAAATTTTATTTAAAGATCTTATAATTGATATAACACTTCTTTTTATATACAAAAGAGGATGATCAAAAGAATCAATCTTTTATAAATCAGCTCGTTACAAAAGTTGTAGATAACCTTCAGATTTCAATTAACAATATTCACATTCGTTATGAAGATAAACTGAGTGATCCTGGTGTACGTTTAATATTAAATTTACTTGGATTTTTATTTTTGATTAAACTTTAGATTTGCTATATATTTCTCTCTTTTAGCATCCATTTGCCATAGGATTGACTCTATCTGAATTTTCGGCAGTATCCACTGACGGTAATTGGAAGCCTACATTTATTGAAGGAGAGACTAGTACTATTCATAAGGTAAAAAAATGAATAACTGAAGACTAAATTTTTTTTATGATTACTTAAATTTTCTTCGTGTTTTCATAAGTTAATAACGTTAGGGTCTCTATCCATGTATTGGAACACGGATTCGAAATCTTTGGCCGGTCACAATAATGAAGCTATCAAAATATTTAACAACCTGGTAATGTTTATTAATTATTGCTGTAATTTTTGTTCTGAATTGCTCTTATTAAATAATGTTTAACTTTATTATAAAATAATAGATCGCGTCCGAAAAAAATATACCAGAGCATCAATATATACTTAAACCCGTCTCTGGTACCGGACGTGTAAGTGCTTTTAATAATTCTGGTTTTCATAGTAATAATGATTATTCATTCTCATGATTCGCAATTGTTCTTTTATTTCGCGTTTTATAGATTATATTAAATAAAAATTTTGATGTAAATAAACCAAAAACTATCGTGACATTATTATTTGATGAACTTGGATTCGTCTTAGACGATGAACAATATAGGGATGCTTTATTAATGGTTGACTTATTCCATTTTTATCTACGGCAACAACAAGTAAGATGCATTACGTGTTTAAGTCGTTATTTATTAAAAGGTACATAACAAATAACATTCATAATAACATTTATAGTACCGAAAATTTCGACCTCCAAAAGAAATAACTCCTAAACAAGATCCTAAAGCTTGGCTGAGATTTGCGGGTGAATGTATTCTGTCAGAAATTCGTGAGCGCAATAAGAAATTTACCTGGGAGTATTTTGCTGAACGTCGTGATGATAGGCATTCATACGTTAAATTATATAAAGACAAACAACTTGATAAAATAACACCGGAGGTTTGCGATTAAGTTTTAAGTATTATGTAAGATACGTATATTTTTTTACCGATTGTTAAACATAATTTATAGGATCAAAATGCGTTGAATTCTCTCGAACGGAAACTCAGTTATGAAGATATTCGATTTTACAGATCAATAGCAAAATCACAATTAAGGAAGGAAAAGGCATTAATTGGTGAGTATATAATATTCTTAAAAATGTTAGAATTGTATACGAAATTCTCTAATTTCATTAAAATTATTATAGCCAGAAAACAAAAAGAAAACGCATCGCAACAATCATCACAACGTGGTTGGTTAGGTGGTTGGTTGTGGGGTGGATCACAATCTGATGTAAGAAACTGTTTCATTTCATCTTAATCATATTATGTTTACTTTTATTTATTACATTTAATTTCCCTTAGGCAGGTGAAGAAGAATCAATATTAACTGACGAACAGCGACAAGAATTATATCAAGCAATTGATTATGATGAATCAACTGCGGTGCAAAATGCCGTGGATTTCCCTAAAGAGGTTTTTATATATTTGTAATTTTACCGTAAATTTATTTACTTTATGTTCATTCCCTTTTTTTTTAATACTAATTAATAGTGGATAAAACTTTCACTCAAAACAAAACTTAAAACTGGATCTTTTACTCTGAAAAAAGATCCTCATGGTAAAAAAACCAATATTCTCTGCGTCAAGTTTGATACAGTAACAGCGAATTTCATCCAACGTCCGGAATCATTTCAAGCTGAAAGCGCTTTGGGTAGTTTAACAGTATTTGATGGGTCTACCGAAGGAACATTATATCCTCAAATAGTTAGAGTAAAAGATTATACTACTGAAGCTTCTCAAAAAGATTTGACGAGGAATAATCGTGCGAGTGATATTGGATATGATGAATCACAGGATCCATTTTTTCAATTAGTTTTTGAACAAAATCCTTTGGATGGTAGAGCAGATAATGGTGTTTCAATGAAAATGAGACATTTGGAGATTATTTATAATGTAAATGCTGTTGAAGCAGTTATTGACTTTTTTAGACCTCCAGAACAGCAATTGGAAACAATTTCAGCTTTAATAGTAAGTTTCTAATTGAATGTTTTATTTGTAAAAGTGAATTTTTAAATATATGATTGATATTAAAATTCTTCATCTGGGTATATAGGAAGCTGCAGGGGATACCTTTGAAGGAATTAAAGCTATCACTAGAGCTGGATTAGAACATGCGTTGGAGGAACATAAGACTATAGACGTAAAAATTGATATGAACGCGCCAATTTTTATAGTTCCGGAAAGTTGTACTAAATCAGATGCTCAAGTAATAGTATTAGATTCCGGTCATATCAGTGTAGAAAGCAACTTGGTTAGCAAGCAACAAATCGCTGAAGTTCAGGCAAAAGCAAGTAAAAGTTATAGCGAGAAAGACTATGAAAAGTTACAGTCTTTGATGTACGATCGTTTCACAGTGCAACTTTCTTCGACTCAGGTAAAAAAAAAAATTTTTTTTTTTTTACCCAATAAACTTTTTAAATAAGTTGTTAATTTAATTTATTTTTTTATTAGCTCTTAGTTGGACAATCTGTTGAGCGCTGCTTAGCTCAGATTCGAGACTCTGAAGCCAATTATGGCCTTCACGTTATTGATCGTATCAATATGCAATTTAATGTTGAAATGTCAATAATACGGCATGCATCTAATCTTACAAAATTCAGAGTTACAGGACACTTACCTTTACTAAAAGCTAATTTTTCAGATAGAAAATATAAGATCATGATGAATATAATTGAAAAAGTTACACCAAAGAGTACGAATGAAAGTACTGAAAGCATCCAATTTCCTTCTGATAAATTTTCGTTTAATGATGTAGTTGAAGATGTCTTAAAAGACAAACCAAAGGGGAAGAAAGCTACATTAAGTAAAAATATGGCAAACAAAGCTTTAGCATGGAAACAGAGAGATACTATAGTAGAAAAACTTGGTTTAAAAACTTCACAAGATTTAGTAATAGATAGTGCTAGTGAAGGGGAAGAAGAGAATGACGAGTCTCATGAAGATAAACAAGAAGAATTCTTTGACGCACAAGATACAGACGTATATTGAAGAATTTTTATTATTAATAATTATATGATGCTATTTTATACTTTATTTTATTTGATTACTAATTGCCTTTTTTTTATTATTATTATTTTTCAAGGACTCGAATAATGCGAAAGTCAATCAACGAATATTTGAATTTGTTTTTCGCGTGGATAAATTTACGGCTACTTTAAAAAAAGCAGATCCAGATCCGAATAAACCAGAAGTTGCGTTGGTTGATATGGTCTTGGAACATTTTGGGCTGAATTATGTTCTTCGACCATTCGATATGTCTGCTGAAGTTGTACTTAGGTCTCTTAGTATTGAGGATAAAATTTCAGTCAACGCTTCAGAATTTAAACATATAGTTTCTTCTGAGGGTTATGGCAATGCTCAGTCTGAAGATTCTAAAGATCTTGTTCACATTAAATATTTTAAAGTTAATCCAAAATCACCAGAATATATGTCAAAATTCGAAGGAATTGACCAGGGTGTTGACATTGAATTGTCTACGATCACTGTTATTATCTCACGTGAAAGTATTTTGACATTATATAGTTTTATATTGGACACTTTCACGTCACCGCCTACATCAACCCCTACACCAACACCACAAGCCGTTGATGTTCAACCTGGTACAGAATCAGAAGAAGTCCGAACACCACAATCAAAGCCTTCCACTATTAGAGTAAAGGCTAAACTTAATAGTATAAGGTTTATACTAAATAATGATGGCGTTAGACTTGCAACGGGGTTATTATCACTTGCGGATGTTGCTGTTCATTTAAGACAAAATACTATTCGTGTGGGAGCTCGGTTAGGCAATTTCTCACTTTCAGATGATATGGCTAGTGTAGATAGACCTGAATCATTGCGTCAATTGCTTACTATTCAAGGAGAAGATTTAGCCGTTTTTAAATATGAGACATTTGACGAAAAAATGCCAGGTTTTCCTGGTTATAATTCGTCAGTTTACTTACGAACTGGTTCTGCAAGATTAACTTTCCTAGAAGAACCTATTAGATTTTTGCTTGAATTTGGCAGTAAATTTGCTCAAATGAAAGGTCTTTACGATTCTGCTAGGAACGCTGCTGTTCAACAAGCGACACAATTACAAGAGAGTGTTTCGAAATTTCATTTCGATATTGTAATTCGAGCTCCAATTATTCTTTTCACTAATGATACTAAGTCAAAGGACAATGTAATAGCAAATCTTGGTGTATTTTCTGCTTCAAATCAGTTCATATCTAATGAGTCAGGAAAAGGGGAACTTACTCAGATTAAAGCTGAACTTCAAAAGATTAGGGTAACCTCAGAGTTTGTTTTACCTGATGGAAAGAACCAAACTTTACAAATAATTGACGATGTTGATATAAATTTCAAAATTTCATACTCTGAACATGTTAAAGGTTCAGTTAGACCAGATATGGAGGTTAGAAAGAATTATATTTTTGTATTAATACTGTCTTTTATTATAGAATTTTAATTGTAAATACTTTTTAATAGATTATTGGAACGATGTCCGATGTTAAGATGTCTTTAACAGAAAAACAATATAAATATTTATTTGATCTATCAAATACTATCCCTCGGGCTTTTAGTTCTATTGAATCTACAAATGAAAGTACTTCCAATTCCCTAACAAGTCCATCTCAATACTCTAAAGATTCAAGTGCATCAGGAACAAGTTCATCGCAAAAGGACGAAGAAGTAGTTGAGCCTTGGACAACGATCGATCTTATATTCGATGTGAATCAAATATATTTAGAAATTTTTTCCAGAGATGATTCTCAAACGAAATCATTATCAGATACAAGTTTATCGAAATTTTGCCTAAATAAAACTAAGGTTAAATACAAGATGTTATCAGATAAGTCTATGGAGGCAGAACTCAGTCTTCAATCTGCCACTTTGAATGATACTAGAACAAATGTCCAAAATGTATATAGAGAGATATTACCAGCTGTTAACAAAGAAACTGCACAATTTTCTGTTACCGTTTCAATATCTGGTGTTACTGAAAGAAGCATTGTTGCTATCGTCACTGTTGATAGTCCACGGATAATACTTACTCTTGATCATTTGTTTGCTACCCGTAATTATTTTATGAGCGCATTCGAAGGCTCAAAAACAAACCAAGCTGTATCCCAATCTCAACAAGAATCGAAGTCTATTAAGAGTCCACAATCAAATGTTCCATCATTACCACCTCGTCCGACAACTGCGCAACCTCAAGTTACTACCAGTTTAAATTATCGTGTGAACGTTACTTCCGCAGAAATTATCCTATTAGCTAACCCTGATTTGGCTAATACTGAAGCAATTGTCCTTTCTGCTAATCAGATAGTTGTTACGCAACAACAAGTTTTGGCACTTACAGTTGAAAAAATTGGCATGTTTTTATGTAGAATGGATAAGAGAGCTGATTCTCTTATACGATTTATTGACAACTTTAATTTTGCTATGACCATGGATACTAGAACTTCTAGACCGGGCCAACAACTTACGAACATTAATGTTGATATTGGACCCCTTACATTGAGACTTTCATATAGAGACGTTTTACTAATAACATCAATAGTAAATAAAGTTTCAGAACTCTCATCACAATCATCAGCTCCACCTCCTGAAAAAGAAACTATATCTGGACCAGAAATTGATGCAAATGTCCCGCTTGATAACGCGGTATCTAAAAATTTTAATTATGATTCATTAACTGCAGCTAAAAAAGGTGGTAATTCAAAGAAGAGCCCTAGTGTTTTACAGACTTTAATGATGACTCGAGAAACTGTAAGTAGCTGTATTTTGGAATTCCGTTTAATTATTATATTTATTTAAATACCCGCTTATATATATATATATATATTTTTTATTACAGCTTAAAGCAACCTTTCATGGTACTCGATTAGTTGTTATTGGCGACGAACATAACATACCTATGATTGATGCAAGTGCGAATCAATTTTCTGTAGACGTAACAGACTGGTCATCACAGGTTTGATGCATTTACTTTTTTCATTTTTAACTATTTTATTATTTTAGCTTTATCCTGATTCTTTTTTTAATCTTCAGATGAGTGTTGATGCCACAGTTTCAACTTACATAAATTATTTCAATTTGACCAATTCTCATTGGGAGCCGTTAGTCGAGCCATGGAATTATAGTTTACACGTAAGTTATATTTTGGTAATTTGAAATCCTATATATATTTGATTGATTGTACATTTGAGTTGATGTAATTTTGTGTTTAGGCATCAAAAAATTTAAATCCAGAAAGTATGGTGATTGATATATCCTCTCAGAAACGTTTAGAGATAAACATTTCACATATTTTTTTGGAAACGATTTTTACAACTCTTTCCATAGTAAATCATGAAAGCGAGGTAGATTTCTATTTATTCATTTTTAAGTATTAATTTCATTTAATTAAGCTTAATTTTATTGGCTTTAGCATGTATTGAGTGCCACGAGAGGTTCGCGAACCCCATATAAATTAAGAAATAGAACTGGGTATAATATGCACGTTTGGTCTATTTCTTCGGATGATGCTACAGATACTGAAATTAAAAAAATGGACGATGAACAAGACCTGAATTGGAGGTTTGACGACTGGCGTAAAACGCGTGAAGTAAGAAAGAATATTATTTATTATCATTTAATTAAAAAATGTTATTAAAATTTTAAATAATTATAATTATTATAATTGTAGACTATTAGCTTTGCAAAAAATATGCTAGGCGTCCAATTTGAAGGTGCAATATGGGAATGCATTAAGGAAATCCCTGTCGATAGGGAAGGAGAGACAATGTACATATTACGACCAAAAGTCAACAAGATATCCCACCGTTTGGTGATCGATGTAAAATTAAAAGATAATATAAAAGTAGTAACTTTCCGATCAGTTCTCGTTATCGAAAATCGTACGCTTTTAACAATTGAAATGTTAATTGTTGACGAACATGGCAAAAATGTTGGCAAAGTTTATCAAATAGGTAAACTTAATAATTATATGTAGTATTGTATTTTATTAGAGTTACTGATTTATATTTTATATTTTATTATTTTTCGATTAAAAAACTAATGTTTAGCACCTGGTGAAGATTGTCCTGTTCCTATAGAACATGCTTATCATAATCGGCTTAAGATCAGACCTGAAGGTAAAAGAATAGAACGGAATATCTTATTGATTTAAGTGATTTGTGATTAATGTCTTATTTACATTGTGCTTAGGCGGGTTTGGTTACAATTGGAGCGTCGAGAGTTTATACTGGCAAGATTTCGTAAAACGTAATCCTATGAAATCTATTACATGTGAATCTATAGAAAATGATGTCCCATTCCGTTTCCAAGTATTTTCTAGATACAAAAAGAATGATCCTCTCGTCAAGTAAATATACATAGTCATGTATTCTTGAAATATTTAGAATAATAATATATTTATCTATTTTACAGAGAGTATCCTTGTATGGCTATCCGGTTAAGTGCGCCGATACAAGTTGAAAATCTGTTACCCTATGATTTCACATTTAGAATTGTTGATAAGACTACAAATCAAAATTGGCCTGACAATTATTTACGCAAAGGAGCAATAACTTCTCTACATACCATTGAGTTAAATCACATATTATTACTTAACATTGACATACAAGACTCAGGTATATTGTACTTTTAGTATTAAGAAAAAAATTAATTATAGTTATTTTGCTAACATTTTTCATCTTTTATTTAGGTTACAAAGCTAGCGAGTTTTCTATAATTAGCTCTCCAAATTCCGATTATTCAGTTGAGAATATGTTGACACTTGAAGATTCAGAAGGTTTAAAATTAACCCTTCGAATTCATTACACGTTAGTAATTGTTTATAATCAATATCTTTATTGTAATTTGTTGGAAAGGCTTTCTGATTTGTAAACGTTTTTATCAGAGAAATTCCTGATTCCGGAGGAGCGTTCAAATTTAGTATATATAGTCCATATGTTATGATAAACAAAACAGGTCTCGATATGGTTTTCAAGTCAAAATCACTTTTAGCGTCTGCTAAAATTGCTGCTGGTCAAGGTTAGTTGTGTATAATATGTTATATATACATACACACAACAATTTTTAATATTAGTAATTCATGAACTATTCCATATATTATAGGTTCGTTATCCAAGAAGAAAAATGTGGTACGTTTTATTACAATTTTTTTGCCGCCTTATTTTGTAAATAAGCTTGTTAAATTCTTGTCATTATTTGTTTTAGGTTGCTCCGTATATGTTTTCTTATCCAAGCGATGAATTACGAAATCGTGCTTTATTAAAAGTGGGAGATTCTGACTGGAGCGAAGTAATTATATATAAAAAAAAAAAGTTTATCAAAATAATCGAATCTCATTACTGATTTAAATTTTGTTTTGCAGCCTTTAAGTTTTGAAGCTGTTGGTACATTTATGGAAATTTCTATACCTTCTGCAACAAAATCTGAAGAAATTCATTTGGGTGTCAGCATTCAAGGAGGCAACCAAAAAGTAAGTTTTAGAATTAAAAATGATAATTTATTAGGTGGGACTATATTTTATAACAATGAAATTTATATTATTTTATAGTACAAACTGACTAAAATTGTGACTTTCACACCGCGGTTTATTCTCAAAAACAACTTGAGTGAGGACATCAATTTCCGTGAGCCAGAATCAACTAATGTTATAACCATTAAATCCAAAGATCGTGCTCCACTTCATTTCTTAAAAAAAGGAAATGTCAAACAGCTTATGCTATGTCATCCGGGATTAAATAATCCTTGGTATTTAAATTTTAAATTGTTGGTTTGTTTTACCTATAATTATATAAATAACTTCTCAAAAACACTTTCAATAGGTCTGCTCCGTTTAATATTGATGAAGTTGGAAGAGTTCATGTAAAGGTTGGAAAATCGGATGAAGTAACTGATTTAATTAGAACTGAAATTTTACTTGAAGATGCTACAGTTTTTGTAATATTAAACAAAGAGGAAGGGAAGTGGCCATACCGTATTGAAAATTATTCAGATGTTGATGTTGATTTCTATCAGCAGGTTGGTTTATTTTTCAAAATTTTAACTATAAATCTATGAAATGATCGGAACTAAAACTCTATATATTGTAGGATCCGAACCGTCGTGATTTCTTTGGCTCAAGTACACCTCAATCAAATATATCAAATGTAAAAAAATATCATCTTCCTTCTGGAAATGCTACTCGTTATTCGTGGGATATGCCAGCACAAAAAGAAAAACGTTTGGTCTTAAACGTTAAAAATGTTGAACGGGTGGTTAATATACAAGAAATAGGTTCATTAATGCCATTCAAATATCCGGTAATTTTAATTATCAAATAATTAACAACGTTAAAAACCGTTTATTTTATTTACGTTATTGTTTCAATTTACTTATAATATGGTTAATTATTTAGGTTGACGGAGGACATCGCGTAATTTCTATAGAAGTAGCAGCTGATGGTCCAACTCAAGTCTTGTTGCTTTCTAATTATAATCAATCAGAAAGTATATTCAGACCAAGGGCTCCATCAATCTCATCAGTATCCAAAGATGATTCTAACGCCGGTCGAGAAGCTTTTGAAGTGGTTTGTGTTAATAATAATCTAATTGAACCAATTTGATATGTTCTATCTATTTACTTATTTTAAAATTTGTTTTAATCGTCAATATTTAGATTGATGTAGACTCAGTCACTACACTAAGTTTCCAGATCAGGTTAGAAGGTATTGGTATTTCCGTGATTAATAAACGGATGCAGGTATATAATCTATCAAATTATAATATATCAATATATGTAATTATATTACTGATAAACTTTATTTTCAAGGAATTGATATATGCTTCAATGCGCGGGTTGGAGTTTAAATATAATGATTCTACGTTATATCAATCTGTCAACTTTCTTATTAAATGGTTACAGGTTAATATGAGTTTCATGCTTATTGTAAAAATTCAATGTCGTAAAGATATTTATCAATTATTTTCCTTCCTTCCTTCCTTTCAAAAGATTGATAATCAGCTATATGGCGGATTATATCCAATAATTTTATACCCATCGGTCATTCCGAAAGATGCAAAAGAGACAGATGCTCATCCGGCTTTTCATGTTTCGCTTATTAAGGCAAAGGATGAATGTAAGTTCCTAACATTATTCTTTTTGTAATCTACCATACTATCTCTCTAATAATTTGCATTAATTGTTATTAGCGCATGGTGTCATCTACTTTAAATACTTTTCCTTGTTGTTGCAAGAAATGACCTTCGAAATTGATGAAGATTTTCTCTTTGCGTTACTTGAATTTACAAAATTTGCAGGTTCAAGCACTAATGATGAAAAAGAAGCGTAAGTAATGATATTTATATAAAGCTACAATTATTTATTTTCTTTATATTTAAATGATAATTCATTACAGACAACTTATTGATGGAACGCTTGATATTCCTGAGCCAAAATCAACCGAAGGAGATAATCAATGGTACTTTGAGGTCTTGCATATACATCCGATGAAAATTAATATTTCATTTGTTAGAACAGAACGCATAAATGTTGAAAATAAGTATGTAATTTTTTTATTTAGTTTGATCTCTTCTTTATGGATAATGAGCACTTTTTAAATATGATAAATTGTTTTAAAGGCCCCCACCACGTAATCCTATCATGTTCTTTATCAATGTTTTGACGATGGCAATTGGAAACATTAACGTAAATATCTGAGAGTTTTCTTTTTTAGCTTTAAAAAAAATATATATTAATTGCTCGATTTTACATAATTAGGATGCGCCAATCAAACTTAATGCTCTCGCCATGGAAAATGCGCGTGTCAGTCTTCCCGTATTAATTAATCGTATCAATCGTCACTACGGTGAAGCTTTTATCTACCAAGTAATGTATTAAAGCTTTTTTTAGATTAAAAATATTGTGACGAAAAATTCTAAAACTAAATACTATTATACAGGTGCATAAAATCATTGGCTCCGCCGACTTTTTGGGTAACCCTGTTGGCCTATTCAGTAATATTAGCTCTGGAGTTGTTGATATTTTCTATGAACCATACCAAGGATTTGTGTTGAATCGACCCCAAGATCTTGGAATTGGGCTTGCAAGAGTAATTATTATATGAATTAAAAAAAAACCATTAAGATAGCAGAATAATGAAATCGTATTTTTTTAGGGTGCAACGAGCTTCTTCAAAAAGACAGTGTATGGTTTTAGCGACAGTTTTTCCAAGGTTACAGGAAGTATAGGAAAAGGTTCGTATTCTAAAGATAGTTTTTTTTATTATGACTATCTAAGATACTTAATTTTAGTTAAATTACAATCATTTTAGGCCTCTCTGCTGCTACTTTGGATAAAGCTTATCAAGATCGACGAAGAATGGCTCAATTTAGAAATCGACCTAAACATGCATTATATGGTGTCACTCAAGGAGTTAATTCTTTAGCAACAAGTATTACAAGTGGTATTGAAGGAGTAGTAGTAAGTTGATCCAGATAAATTCGATCCTTCCTTATTTCAATTGACACTAATTTAATATTCCAATTAGCGTAAACCTATAGAAGGCGTTGAAAAAGAAGGTGCAGCAGGGTTGCTCAAAGGTGTAGGAAAAGGACTTGTTGGGTAATTATTTAGAATTGCTTGTATTCAAATACATATACACATAATATTTTATTAATTTTAATTTTAATTTTTTATTTAAGTTTCGTGACAAAACCCGTTGTGGGTGTGTTTGATTTTGCAAGTAATGTAACAGAAGGTATGTCATAATCGAGATGATTGTTTTTTTACATTATTGATAACTTATTCGTTAATGTATATAAAGGAATTCGAAATACCACCACTGTCTTTGATGAAAATGATATTGCACCAGTGCGATTACCACGATATGTTGGGCGGGATGGAATATTAAAAGTATATATATTTTCACACTTTATATTATTATTATTTTTTTTATGTGAATATCTGCTAAAACTAAGTATCGTAATACAGCCATATGATCAAAGAGAAGCTTTAGGACAATCTTGGTTGAAAGGATTGGAGAATGGAAAATTTTTTAATGAAGAATATACTGCTCATCTTGGTAATTTACATTATTGACAATTTGCTATTTTATGTTGTTTATATTAATCATGATTTTTATAAATAGATCTTCAAGGAGACGAACGTGTTGTAGTTCTTACACGGTCTCGTATTATGCTTGTAAAAAGTAAAAGACTAAAAGTAGAATGGGAAGTTTCATTTTCAGGTAAGAATATGCAAATCTTACAATTATAGAATAACAAATTATTTAACTTTCTAATATATAATTTTTAGATCTCCAAACTATTTCATTACAACCTCAAGGTATTTTACTTAATTTGAAAAAAGCGCCAGGACCATTTATTCCAATTCCTGATCCTGAAAGTAAAAACTGGTTCGAAAGAAAAATCGAAATGGTAATCAATGAATACAATGCAGAAAAAAAGGCTCTTGAGTAAATAATTTATTTAAATAAATAAAAAATATACATTAGTTATATAATAAAATTTTTTATTTCTATTTATAATTATAATGAATTTTAAATAGAATATATACAGATATAAACTGAATAAATATCTATATTTAATGATCAATTTAAATTTACAATAAATATCTGAATTGAATTGTTATAAAATTTTTTATTTAAAAGAGTAATTTAATACTAGCTAATTCAAATTAGCTTAATTAGCAAATGATTTTGTACACTATTTAATCCTCTATATCCTGCAAAGTATCACTTAATTTTATTATTTATTACATAAAATTCTTAATCCGAGACATGAGTATTAAGGTGAGGTGTTCATATGAAATATATCTCAATTAGACTTGTTATCTACCATATCTATACAAAAAAAATATCAAAGAATCAGTAAAAGGTTAATAAATTTCAAGTAATCTTATATTTAATAACATACTTCTGGAATTCCCATTCTCTGTTATCTAAAGGACACACTTGCCGGGTCTTTAACCAACGAGAAATGCAATGAAAATGAAATGCATGGTTACAAATTCCCCAAGCTCTATTAAAATAAAAAAGAAAAAAGAATTCAATAACATAATCAATTATTATAAAAATACAACATACAAAATCCACATACACTGTGCATTCTTCACTGGTCGCAGACGCTTGATTTGCTTGACATTCAATGCCTTTAAATTATTAGGATAATTAGCCATAGCAGCAAACCTTCATTAACACAAAAAATTGAAACAAAAATTTACATACAAAGATCCATGATATGATTTCGACAAATAGCACAGTTATCAACTACAATATCTTTAGGAAAGGAGAAAAAAAATTATATTCATACTCATATCGTATTTCTGTTGTATTATGAATACTTACCCCAGGCCCACAAAGCAACGGCATTCCACTGAATCGAGTAAAGTTAAAAAATCATTTAGTTGCAAAAAAGTAAAATATAAAAGTCCTTTTAGACTTTAATAATAGAATCCTTATGTGGAATAACAAACTCCGAATAAGTAAAGAGTAATGGACTATACCTTCTTTACTTCAAACCGTTTCTTTCCTGTATCTTTAGCTTTTCCACTAGATCTAGAACCAGCTGGTTGATCAATATCCATTGGAGTGCTCATTTTTTTTACGAATTAGTTTAAAAGTGCTGGTCAAAAGTCAGTCTTGTATTTAAATATTTCTTACGGTGAGTCACATGGTTTACTTCTCAATTTCCTTTGTAGGCAAATTGTGTAATCACATAATCGGAATTAATTGAACAATCACGTGACTCTGGGAAAGTCGATCTAAACACTATCGCGACATATGATATCTGATATTTTGTATTGTATTCTTTATCTCCGGTTTTAGCGTAAGCTTTTTTTTTCATTCCTCTTCTTTGAGTAAATAATTTCGCACAGAATAATCATTTCTTCTTCAGTGATTTCTTCTTGTTCAAAGCAATTCCTGCTTGCTAATTTTCATTTACAACTATAACTACCTGTTTAGATAGTCCTATCTTCCTCCTAGAATAAAGCCAATATAAACACAGAATTATAAGAATAATAAGTAAAAATTTTCTTAAAAATCTTTTGAAACCTAACTAAATATAAAGGTAGATAATCTATTATCAATAACTTGAAATACTTCATATTCCTCTATTTCAAAAGTTAAGCAATATCTTTGAAGTTGGCTGTAGAATGAATATTCTTCAGGGTCTAATAACTTCTTAACTCAAATAACATCATATTCGATGAGTATCCAAATCTCGAACGACTTTATGAACTTAGTCTTTTCTTCTTAATTCATATTCATTGTCATCGGGAAAGAACTGTTTGAATTGATCAATTAGAATATTCAGTTCCTTATTGTACCATCAATTGACTAATATCTCTCATTATATATTATTTATTGACTTGTGTCTTCACTATAATCCATACTTGTCTATTGTTTCATCTCACTTAGTTGACTCGTTTCAAAGAATTGGAAAGTTGAAGTTTCTTTGGAAAGAGACTGAGACTGGTAATTTGATAAATTGCACTAGGTTGTGTTAATATTTACTGCAAATTGATATATTCTGAAATCATAAATGTAATTGTAATTGTCTTTGACCATTGCAATTTGCAAGTACTTTATTAAGAATCATCTAACTAAATTTACTTTAAATATCGAAATCAGGCAATTTTAATTTTTTTTTTTAGTATGAATCATATTAATAAGAGAGTCTTTTTTTTCGAGAAATCTTGGCACCTCATAATTCAACTATTTTCATTAATCAGTCTGTTGAATTCTTCGAGCCTCATTCTCACCTGTTCTTTAAGGAAGATTAACTGACTTCTGCACCTGGAAGAAATCTTTTTTCAAATCAGCACTCTCTTGAACTAAACCAATTCTAAATGTCAAATAGCCATTCTTTTTTCATGGTCTCAAATCTAGAATATGATTCAGATGTAGACTATTAGTTCGCACTCAACTTCTCATAGATAAACTGATCCATGGCCGAAGGTGAGTCAGAGAAGAGCAAAAGGTTTTTTGGTTAAACATAGTATGAGAAACTTGGAATAATACCGAAAAAGATTATTTGGAGCAGATTAATGAGTTAAAAAGTAAAGGACCGGGTGAATTATCCGACGAGCAAAAAGAGAAATATAATTATGATAATTTAGAAACGGAAAGAGATGAATTAGAGAAAAGAGAACTTTGGAGCAGAAGTTTTAAATTTAAATAATAAATTAAAAATGAAAAGCCAAGAAATCACTCAAAAGGAAAACGAGATTGTCCGACCGAAAAGAGTTTAGCCTTTAGTGAACTCCGACAAGAAAATAAAAATTAAGAGGATTATAGTAAGAAAGTTAACCAATTGGACGAGGAACAATTAACCAGCAATAAATTAGAGTAGAATAAGAAATTACGAGAGAGAATAGAAGAGAATTATAAAAAATATATGGTAGACTATCAAGAAGCTGGCGGATCTTTTAGCTACCGATTCAGTGTTGGATTTGGACAATGTCCAATTCAAAAATTACATTCAATTGGACAATTGGGTGTATGTCCAGATCCAATTGGATAATGTTCACATTAAGTTCAAAAAGAATATAAAATTATTAAAGTTGATTTAGATTTAATTTTAGGGAAGTGGAAATTTGATAAAGAGTGGGAAGAAGTTTGTGGAGAAGTTTGAGCCGTGAATTAACCAATTTAGAGAAAGAAAAATTTAAAGGACTTCTTGATGTGAAGCGAAAAGTTGGGAGTAATATTAAATATTAACCATCTGGTCGAAAAGTGTAAAAGATAAGGACGCTTTACTAATGGTTGTCATTCCATTTCTATCTACGGCAACAAGTAAGATGAATTACGTGTAAGTCGTTATTTATCAAAAGAAACATAACAAATAACATTTACAACACTTAACAAGTTTATTACTGCCATTCATATATCTGGTAATTCTGATTAACAACTTTATTTTATTTGCGTTATCATTATGGTCCCAATTTGACTGTCATAGAAGTCGACCCGAGTCAGTCATTATCGGTTACAAGTACTTATTATTAAAGTAGATGATAATTTAATAAAATCCTACAATTACTGAATAAAATGCAAGGTTGCGAATATTTTTAGGAACCCTAATTATAAAAAACTATTTTATTAATTATTAATTTATAAATTTGTCAGACTAAGCTGTTTTAACTAAATTTCATATACCACAAATCATAGCGGCATTATTTTGTCCCCCCGTTTTTGTTATAAATTTTGGCTGTGTCAGTTAAATTTTATTTTAGTAAAAATATCATATAAGTATAAAATTAGCATAGATTCTTGGATTATAAAGCAGTTTTTAGACCCTAACTCTGATACCATATTGTATATTGAGTATTGACCTACAAAATAGAAGATCCGCCATTAAGTGTTGTATCACAAATTTTATATAAATAGACTTTTTTTCCTAATTTTATCTCTTGGCTTATACAGGCAACGAGCTTTTCCGGTTTTGCCTCGGGAGTTTATAATATTGGGCAATTATCATATAATATTATAATATCTGATATTGTAGATATAACATTTGTTGAACAGGTTAATTATCAAGCAAAAAACATAAACGAAAGAGATTCAATGTCTCAATCTAAATTATCAATATTTTAAGAGACACACAATTCTTAAAGAATTTTTCTTCATTGTAGCTAACGTTGACAAATTAGTACTAGGTTTTACTATTACAGTGAAACAAACAGAAAACCCGATTTTTTTCATTCATTTATATTTAAATTTTGTTTCATGATTTTTAGGAATTAATTTTTGTTGAAACGCAATTATTACATCACGTAGAAGTTAATTATCGGATGATTGCCATTTTTTTTAATAATAATATTATTGCGCCTGATATTAAAGCATAGGTTTGGTACTGGTTTGGTTCAAAAAATTATTTATAAATAAAGAAAAAAGAAAAAAGAAAACTTTGACGTCAGCAAAATATATATTAGTCTCGTGATAAGCTGCCAAATTTGTTCAATATTGTTTGTTATATGGGTTATTACACTTTGAGTAAATGAAAGCGAATTAGCGGGACATACTACACAAGCTTCATCTACTCTACGCTTAATATTCTTACGAATACCTTAGTAACGAATAGTTGTATAAGTTTTTACAATATGGATAATGACTCTAATGATGCAACTACCTCAACGACACCAGTTTCTAGAGGTCAACAGAGGTCTGCAGTATTCACTTCAGTTTTATCTTCTGGGCCAGCGTCTTCTCTTGCAACAACGTCCGTAAGGGCAACTGCATCAAATTCAAGACAAGTCAGGCAGAATTGGTGGGGATATATTGTTGAGAACTTTAGATCTATATCTAGAACCTCAAAGGTTTTATTAATTCTGAATTTAACAATGGTTCTAATTCAGGTATGTAAATATCTTGTACAAAAATGCTATAAGTATTAATGGATTGGGTTAATAATACAAATATATATATTTTTAAAATGAAATTAGGTTGTTGTAACTATAACAGTGCTTGTAATTTCACGTCATCAAGAATGCGATAAACCACTAAGGCTGTTTCTTATCCTATACATTGCTCGTGTGATAGTAGCTTGTCCAGTCAATGTATATTTGTATTTAAATCCTAGAGAAAATAGACGTGGTGGGCAAAATCCAAATGAAAATGAAAATCAAAGAAGGGATGGATGGGTTGACCGGTAAGTAATTTTATATTTATGTATTTTTTTTTTGTTTAATATTTATTCTGATAATATTTATTCTAATATTATTTTAATAAACGTGAAAATTGTAGACTAAAATCTTTTTTAGACCTTTTTGCTACTTTATGGTTTATTATTGGCAATTACCTACTTTTCACTACCGTTAAATGTCAAAGCACTTCACCGCCAGTGTTTTACCTTTCTTTGACATGGGTTATTGTTGGTTATATTATTATTACCATTCCAATATTACTGTGTCTGGCTGTTATATTCTGTCTACCATGTGTATTAGTGGCAATGAGAATGTTAAACGTTAGCGAAGCTACTGGAATGAGTGGCGCAAAAGATGATATTATTCAAAAGATCCCTTTAGTAAAATATAAAGCATCTGTAGAAGAATCAACCGATACTGTTATAACAATGCCTCCACAAACCTCAAGTATGACACCAAGTAATGATGAAACACAGCCACCAAGACAAGATCAACCACGTAAAAAATCTCGGTTTAAACAACTTTTTGGTAGCAATCGCAAGGGATCTTCAACTTCTTCGGCTCCAACAGTTTCACCTCCTTTTCCTATTCCAAACTCCGACGATGCAGTTTGCTCAATTTGTTTAGAACCTTATGAAGATGGTGTTGAATTAAGACGTTTATGGTGTTCACATCATTTTCATAAAGAGTGTGTAGATGAATGGCTTAAGTTAAATAAAAAATGTCCGATGTGTCGCGAGGATGTAGAAGAGATGGCTGCAGAACATAGTAGTAAGAAAGGGAAAACTACTATCACAAACACTAATAATAATAACACTGCTGGTGAAGGTAGCAGTACCAACACTACTGGTCAAGTAAATATCAAACCTTAATAAAAGGAAGTCGAAATAAACAAATGTTAATTTTTTTACAACATTGAATAATAATATAATAATCTACATTTTATTATATCCATTTTATCTGATTTATAATCAAAAGAATACTAATTTACTTTTATTGTAATTATCATATCATTATATCTTATGCACATATCTTATGCACATACACATTTGTAAAGTAATTAAAATGTAATATTTTTTTTTTTTTTTTTTTNGCGTTGGGATTGATATGATCGATTAGAAACAGACATTTTTTACAAAATACAAAACAAATTATTGATTTAACAAGGAAGGAATAAAAGGGTGATTTTTTTTTTTTTTTTTTTTGTGATAAATAAAAAATAATGACAAAAGAACGATACGATAGATTGTATCATATAATATTAAAATTTTCGTGTTTATTATTTAAATGATTTTCTTATACATTGAAACTATTTACTTTATAACGAAATACAAGGTAATTTTATAATTACAAAGTAAGCTAAAATTACTTGGCGTTTTCAAATCTTGCAGCAACAGTTTTCCAGTTAACAACTTCCCAAACAGCTTTCAGATAGTCAGGTCTGGCATTCTTATATTGCAAGTAATACGCCTATAAGGAATTTTAAAATAAAAAAAAAATCGTAACGCTTCAAAAAATATAAAAAAATATGCAATTTATATATAAACATATATAAACATACATGCTCCCAAACGTCAATTCCAAGAAGAGGCACGTGAGCTATTTGTGGATGGAGTTTATTAGTTGCTTTAAGATATAAATAAGTATTCAGAAAATAGAATAAATTTCTTACTTGTTAATGGATCTTGGTTTGGAAGGGTTACGATTTCCACACGTTTTGTCGTTTTGTTATAACCCTAAATAAAAAAACCGTAAGTTAGCTTTAAAAAAACGAAAATATTATATCTTTAACAAATACTTACCAACCAACCCCATCCAGAACCTATTAAGGTATAAATGTCTAGTTAATTTTATTCATTAAACTCAAAAACTCAAAATAATGAATGAATCAAACCTTGAACAGCAGCAGTTAAAGTATTAAATTTGCTGATGAAGTTCTCGAGAGAATCAAATTCTTTTTTAATGGCACTAAGAAGTTCGCCTAAAAAAAAAAGATTCTTATTATTTAGAAATTTTAATAAACTCATAACGTAAAGTCGTAAACTAAATATACCATTTGGAGGTTCGCCACCACCTTCCTTCTTGGGAGCAAGATTCGCCCAAAATAGAGAATGATTGATGTGTCCTAATGAAACAAATAAGTTAACAGAGAAAGAAAAATATCAAGTCAAACTTAAACTTTACCTCCACCGTTGAATTTCAACGCAGGTTGTAACGCTATCTGAGAAATAACATCTTTGTCTTTTAAGGCTTGCTCAAATTTTTCTTCGGCCACGTTCAACCCATTAACGTACGCTTGATGATGCTTTTCATGATGAACTTTCATTATATCCGCTGAAATAATAGGTTCGAGAGCCTAAATTTCATAACAATTTGTCATGGAAGTAGAGAAGTAAGACGCGAAAAAGTCTAGTTTTCTCTTTTACATATTTTACATATCCATTCACGTCAAAAAAAACTGTTTACGTTATAGTCATAAGGAAGGTCCGGAAGCGTGTACTTTGACCTCTTAACAGTAAAACTAGTACTACTTCGAGCTAAGGTCGAAGTATAGATATTCTGTACAGCGCGTGCCGGAAATGCTAGACGGAGCATTTTCGTTATTTTCGTTTAATAAATTGTTTAATTGCGAACAATTAACGATATGTTATAATTCTAAAATGATAAATATTACATCATTATTAGGTTTAAGATAATCCACCAATCAAATATCATTTAAAATTATCAAAGAATATCAATCTTGATCGATCTTAAGATGAATTTAGACTTTGGATCGTATCCCGTTCGTTTAACATGTTCACCAGAAAAAGGTCGTTATTTTCTTGCAAAGTCAGATATTAAAGTTGGAGAAGTTGTTTTAAAGGTTCATTATAATTTATAAAGTCGTTGCCTTTATGCTTTGCGCGTTAATTACTCCAAATATAACAAAGAATTTTTTTTTTATCGTAAAGTGCTTGCCTCTTGCAACTGCGCCTTTCGATAATCACAAAAAACGGTATTGTTATACATGTAATTTATATAATTCCTCTTCAGCATTTTCATACCATTGTGTGTCATGTGATCAAGCTTACTTTTGTAGTTTAGAATGTTACAAAAATGATTCAAATGTATTAGCAAAACATGAATTGATCTGTAATATATCAAGAAAAATTGCTACATGGAGGGCTGATAAACATATGAAAAGTGTAATTAGATTATTAGTACAAATATTGCTTGAATATTTGTGTGAAGAAAAAAATGATGATAATGAACCTAAAAATGATATACTCAGAAATTATTTCAAAGATTTTTTGTTGCTTAAATCACATTATTCGGATTGGTCAACCAATTTAAAACAAGATTGGATGAAACATAAAAAATTTTTATTATCAATATTTAAGTCATCAAATTTGATTCAAGAAAATATTGAATTTGAAGAATTTTTACACATGATTTCGAGAATCGAAAGCAATGGATTTGGAATGTACTATCAATCTAAAGGAAGAGAAATTTTATTTGGAAGAGGTAAGATGATTTTGTTTTATAAAGAAATTTCGGTAACGTATATTTTATTTATTTTATTTTATTTTTTAACTTTTTAAGCTATATATCCATTTGCGTCATTCTTTAATCATTCTTGTGACGCGAATTGCGATGCCCTTCAGCCGAATTATAAAGGTGAAAATAATCAAGTGGATAATGCAAATTCCGAAGGATGTATTGCTATTGAATCAGTACAAACAGACATCAACTTGAATACATTAATTAAAAAAAAGGAAATATTTCGTAAAGTGGAATTTATAGCACTTCACAATATCAAAGAAGGTAATGTAAAATATAAAATACAAGTGACAAATTGAAATTTAATAAATATACGTTAAATTTACTCTTAAACGTCAATTAGGTGAAGAATTAACTATATCGTATATAGAAGATACTCATTCCCCGTTACAAGCGAGAAGACAAAAACTTATGAATGATTATTATTTTTTGTGCAAATGTGATAGATGTAAATCTGAAGAGACTAAAATAAATGGGAAAAGATTTAAGGGCTTGAAGAAATATCGTGGAAATAAAGAATTTCAATGAGTCTTATCAGGTCTTTCTATAATATCTTCAAGTCTTTCCCCAAGTTTAACTATATTTCCTCGAATAACACGAGGATCATTGTTAAACATTTTTCTTAATTCGGTTATCACTACTGGGTTGGTGTCAAAATGCATAAGCCAAAAACTATTCAAAATGTAAAAATAAATTAATAGTTTTATAAAAACGTATTAAAACCAAAAAAAATTCCTTAACGTACTGTCCACGAGTATGGTATACTTGGTGTCTGCGTATTCTCTTTGCTAATGGCATTTCGCCCCAGTTCTCAAAACCTCTTACAACTCCACCTCGTTCAAGAACATGTTTTGCTGAATTTCGGACAAGATCTTTAAAGTTTGCCTTTTATCATATTAATGTTTATAATTAGGTTTATAATTAGGTTTATGAGGAGTGACTTTAATGGAGTAAAAAGTTATATTTTACCTCCATTAATCCCGCTCTAGTTATACAAAGAAGTTCATAAAACATCTTTCAATATTTAAGTGATATAATTTGAGTGAAAAATAAAAAATTTTATCGAGTGGCTTAGGAAAATTGATTATGCTGTGCAACCTACATATAGCAATTTATGTTATCGGATTTTTTTTTTTGACAATCCTAAATCCTTAATATAATGACAACTGCAACAAATCAACTTCTCCCACTTGGTATGTGTTATCTTTTCAGGTTCCAAATATTAATTGAAAAAGAAATGAATTGACGTTATTAACGTTTAAAATTTTATATTTTGTTCTAATTACGGGAATACGTTTTTAAGAATTGATCGACAAATGTATTGGCTCTAAAATTTGGGTCATTATGAAGAGTGAAAGAGAATTCACAGGAACTCTGTTGGGCTTTGACGATTATGTCAGTATCCTTTTGATTTGTTCGCATCATAATTTAAATAGAGATATATATTTATTAATTTTTATGTGACAAAAATTTTGATCAATATGTCTTTAACTTTGATTTATGCGAATTAGATATGGTGTTGGAAGATGTTACAGAATAGTAAGTTGTAAAATTATTGTATGTCTCTCCAAATATTTAATTAATTGATTTTTCTTTTTATTTCTTAATAGTGAAAATACGCCAGAGGGCCGTAAAACCACAAAACTTGACAAGATCCTACTGAACGGGAACAATATAACTATGGTGAATACAATTATTATTTTACTTCATTTTTGGGCTTTTCTTATTTGGTTTAATTTTTTTTATTTTTTATTTAAAAAGCTTATACCCGGTGGTGAAGGACCGGAAAGTTAGGAAAAACGTCAAATATATCATTTGATATTTAGAAACATAGATGTAAATGCACTTTTAAGATTTTATATAATATTGAACTGCATAATTATTTCTTTTATACTGATGACATGGTTCGCAGTATTAAAAATGTACGCCATAAAAATTCCACGTCAGATTTGATAAATTTATAATAAAATAAAAAATACCATTTGATCATATGACTTTCTTAAATGTTTTAAACTCGCCAACTAAGTACTAACCATATATTACTATGATCACGTGCTCGAGCCTTTTATAAAAGATTATGCCAAATTAGTATCTGCGAGATTATCGCTTACATTTTTTAACATAAATAAAATGTTACTGTTCGAATCAGATAAGAAACAAATGAAGCAAAAACTTCATGTTCGATATACTGAGTTTCAGGCTATCGTTCTGTGTGGTTATGGTAACAGGTACCTGTTTTATTCCACCAAGTTATTCGAGTAATTTTTGTTGGCCTTAACGAAAAAATGTATTATAGACTTTATCCACTTACTGAGGATAACAATATACCTAAGGCTTTGCTTCCTTTAGCCAATAAACCAATGTTACACTATGTTTTGGACTGGTTAGAAAGAGCTGGAATTACCGGTATGTAAATTTCCATAAAATACCTTTAATCATTCGATTATATTAATATTTTGCGTTAATTTTCAACAAGAATAGATGTAATAATTATTTCGGAATCAAGCGGGGAACATAAAATTGGACATTATATTAAAGTTGTCTATGAAGGAAAATTGAAACCAATTTTAGAAGTGGTTAAAGAAGATGTAGGGACTGCTGATGCGTTGAGAACGATTAAAGATAAAATTAAGGTCTTTATTTTAATATCGTTGTTTGCTTGCATTATTGTTGCGATAAATTAACTTTTATTAATTATATTCTTTATTAGAATGATTTCGTCGTGATTAGTTGCGATTTGATTCTTGATTTACCTCCTCACCAATTCTTGGATCTTCATCGTACTCGAGATCCTACTTTTACAGCACTTTATTATGAACCAAATAAATCAGAGGGTAGTGGAGGAAGTGGTAATAATTATAAGGACGATAGTAAGTTTTTTCTTTTTTTTCAAATTATCTTTATTATATTTGTTTAAATAGAAATTAATAATTTCTTATTGAAATTCAAAGAATCTAAACAATTTGTTGGAGTTGATATTAATCAATCACGTCTAATTTATGTCGCGTCTGAAGTTGATTTAGACCAAGAATTTTCCTTGCGTATGTCACTATTGTGGAAGTGCGTACGTGTATTTCATTTTATGAAAAATAAGGATGATTAGCTGATGACTAACTGATAGTAACTTAATAGGTTTCCGCGTGTAAATATTCATACTACTTTACAAGATTCTCACCTTTACATTTTTAAACGATGGGTAATCGATCTAATTGCGCAGAAAAAAGCAATTTCTAGTGTTCGAGAACATTTAGTCCCGTTACTTGTAAAATGTCAATATCAAAAAAATTTATTAGAGAAAGAAGGAATAGATAAATGTATGTACTCGATGTTGCAACTAAATTATAAGTTAATTGAATTTAATTTTAATTGTTTTATTAATGGTCTTTAGTTATATTTGATTAAAGTGGCCAAATTACAAGAAAATCACCAGAAAATTGCTCTTGAATACTCTGCTACATGGGATGAAAAAGATAAGGAACCAGTTTACTGTCAGGTTTATATATATAATACTGGATTTTGTGGACGTGGAAACACTGTACCAAAATATTGTGATTTGAATCGCCATGTATGTTGAATTCTTAACAAATTTTTAGAGTGTCGAGATCTTCAATTTCTAATGTAATTAAACTTTATATCTAAAGATGACGAAAGTTAGCACCGAATCGCGCGTTTCTCCATCGGCAGAAGTGAATGCAAAGACTCAAGTAAGTTAAAAGTTTTTGCATATTTTTAAGACTAACCAGTAAGTTGCTAATGATTTATTTAAAGGTTGGTTCAGATTCACTTGTTGGTAACGATACTAAAATTGATGAGCGAACCTCTATTAAACGGGCAACTATCGGTTCACATTGCATTATTGGTAAAAATGTAAAGATTTCAAATTCTATACTAATGGATGATATTATCATAGAGGATAAGTAAGTATATTAGTTTTATTAATTAATATTAGTCTTATTAATTATAAAGTTATTTCTTGAAAAGTTTCTAATTTCTAAATCAATCTTATTAATAGTGTTAGATTAGACGGATGTGTTGTTTGTAATAATGCTAAAATAATGGAAAAGTCCGTGTTGAAAGATTGTGAAGTTGGTGGTGGTTATGTAGTAGTAGCAGAAAGTACGTATCATTTTAATTTTTTTATTCTATGATTTACTACATTATTTGCTGATATAATTATACACATGTTTTAGCACAAGCAAAGAACGAACAACTTGTCGAATTCCGAGATTTGAGTTAAAAATTTAATCACGTGATACAATTTAAATTTATAAATTAACGATCAATCAATAAAAATAATTGTGAAATAATTTTATTTACGTTGTTGCTAAAAATAAAAATTCTATCACGAGTGGCGTATATAGTCGATCGAGATCGTCGCGCCAAATTTCTTGGGGTTTGATCTTGGCTCCCAGTCTTATGTTGACTTAAACTAGTATATTAATGGATTCCCATTTTGATCATAGAGTATTATGTTACCTAAATTTTTGTGTTTGAAACTCTTTATATCTCTTTATTTAAAAATTGTTATACCTGACAAAAAACCGAACATTATTTCCAAGTTTTTTTTTCTGCATTAGATGTTAAAAGTTTTAATATAACAAATTTTTCAAAGAAAAAAAAATATCGTTAAAGAAAAAAATAAAGAATAATGGAACACCAGTATCCAGAGAAGGGGAATTATGACCATTCTCAGCAACAACAGTATCCTCCCAATTCCTCATTAACGACTGTTCCATATCCAGGACCAGAACAACAAGGTCCTCCTCCAACAATTATACCGGCAGAAAACCAGCAATCTTCTTATACGTATGCTGATACCTATTCTCAGCAACAACAACAGCAATATATTCCTGCTCCTACAATGCCAGAAGCTAATCAAAATAATAATGAACAATCGATTTCGTATCCGCCATCCTATAATAGTAACCAGTACAATCTACCACCTGAGGCATCATATAATAATCAATATAATCCACCACCCGAGGCATCTTACCAGTATAATCCATCATCTGAAGTATCTTATAATAACCAGTATAATCTACAACCTGAAGCATCTTATAATAATAACCAGTATAATCTACAACCTGAAGCATCTTATAATAATAACCAGTATAATCCATCACCTGAGGCACCTTATTCTTATAACAATAATCAGTATAATTCGCAATCTGAGGCGACATATAATAATAATCAGTATAATCCGCCACTTGAGGCGTCTTATAATAATAACCAGTATATTCCACAACCCGAACCATCTTATAAAAATAGCACGTATAGCTCACCACCACCACTGGAACCGTCTTATAATACTTCATATAACTTACCACCACCGCAACCACCGCAACCACCGCAACAGACATCTTATAGTAATAATTCGTACAGTTCAGCCCCTGAACCATCGTATACTGTACCATCAAATCAACCACCAAATCAACCACAATCTTATAATAATAATGTTTATTCTAGTTCTTCTTCAAATGCTTCCCCATATTTAACGAAACCATATTCTCGTACTCAAAATTATAATAACGCACAGCCATCAAACGTCTCTCCGTCTTCAGCACAACCTTCAAATTATGACGATAAATCACCAAGACCTCCAAAAAATTATTCACCATCAAAACCTATAACAGGACCTGATTATTCATCATCATATACGGTTGCTCCAAATCAATCGAGACCAGTACAGGATCGTTTACCACCCAGTTATGGAGGAACAAAACGTCCGCGTCGAAATGATTGTGCGGATTGTGCGGATTGTTTTTCAATATGTGGTTGTATAAGGTGTACTTGTACTGTAATTACTTTTATTTTCGCCGCACTTTTTATAGCTGCAGGTATTTTCTTAATTAGTTATTCAAAAATTTTACCAGGAAAATGTCAAGGTATTTGTGACCCTACAAATGGAGGTATACAAAATCCCAGCAATTTGCCAGGCAATGTTGACAATTCACTCGATAAAATTAACAATGAAATTAGTAATGGTACTCAACAATGTTCTAGTTTATGTAAGGATAGTGTTTTTAAAATTCTATTTTATGGTGGGATAGGGTTTATAGGTCTTGGTTCTATAATAGCTTTAACTCAAATTTTATGTATGTGTTGTAGAGTTGGTTCAAGTGGTGGAAGAGGTACAGGTTGTTGTTATTGTTGCTGAGAATAACTAATTGTTTATATGTCAAATTCGATTCCAAAAAGTTATATCTATTTTTGTTTATTTAAAAATTTATTTTTTTTTAAAAAAAAAATTATATTTCATTTATATAATGAAACAAAATATTTGAAAGGAAAAACTACAATCTGTAATTTTATTTATATTATATATAATAATATATGTATACTATCATAATATTTTGTAAAAAAGCAACTATTGTATTGATCTGTTTAATTTTAGAATTAGGCCTAAAATTTTGCATAATGCTAAAATTCCAATAATAATTAAAATGTATCAAATCATAATAAAATTGTTATTATTGATTTGTATCATAAAGTTAAAAAAGTAATTGACTAATAAAAGAAAAATTTAAATAATTAGTATGGCTAAGTATATACAAAGTTATTATTTGAATATACACAAGTGATCATTTGAATATACAAAATGTATATTCAAATAACAATAAAAGTGGTCATTTGATTAAATAAAAGTTGTTATCTGATTATCATTTTATCATTTGAATATAAAAAGTATATACAAATCACACTAAATAAGATGACCTTTTTGGGTTGTAATTTTTTAATTGTAACTATTTAGTACTGTAATTTAAAAAGGCGGATTTACAAAGATTTTTCATAATATTAATTATATAACCATTCACAAATAAATTTTGAATTGTAATAACTGATTACGTAAAAGGTTTGACCAGCAGAAAATCATGGCAGTATTTTCACGAGGAAACCATGTGATAAAATATAATTAAACGAAGTTTTTGGGATGATCAAATTGTTTATTGCAGTTTTTCTTCGAAAAGAATGGATAAAAATACGATTGATTCAAACGATACTGAACCCAAGGAAGTTTGTCTCTCATTTACAGGTAAAATTCTTAAATTTTATATTAAAATAAGTTCAAACTAATATTAATTTTCATTTCTAAAAAAAAGGTGGAAAGGATAGTACATTAACATTACACTTAATATCCGCACAACCATCAAAATATAAAGTAACATCCTTGATTACATTCACTCCTCCTGCAACCACAAGACCATTTTTAGCACATTCACAACATTTAATATCACTTCAGGCAAAAGCACTTTCACTTCCTCATTCATTTTTACCAGTAACACCACCATATTTGGAATCATATCGTTCTTTAATTATTTCTCGAAATGTACCATATTTAGCTACAGGTGATATATTAGATGTATGTAATCAATTTATGGATCGTGTGGTAGAAAATACTAATGTTAAATTACTTCGCCCATTATGGGAAAGAGACCGAAATGAATTAATGAACATAATATTTTTAAATAATTTTGAAATATTAATTACTTGCGTTAATTTAAACAAAATCAATGAAAATGTGGCTAGAAAAATGGTTGGCAGTATGTTGACAAGAGAACTATATGAAAATATTATTTTAAAACAAAATAATGTTGATGCATGTGGTGAAATGGGTGAATATCATAGTATGGTACTTAACGCACCTTTATTTAAAAAGAAAATTATTATAAAAAAAGGCGAACAAAAATTATCCGATGATGGAAATTTTTTATATTTTACAATTGATGACTGCGAAATAATTGATAAATAGAGGCACTGTGTTACCGTATAACATGTGACTTGTACAATCAATAAAAGAATAAATTTTAATTGCGTTTTTATACTTTATCTGTTAGAATTTTCATCATGTCATTTTATTTTGCTATAGTAGGCACAAAAGATAATCCTATTTACGAAGTAGAATTCGGTACTTCTGGAACAAAAGCTGCTGGTCTTGACCCGAATGCAAAGGTGATACTTTCGTGGAAATTCTTTATTAACAAAATCTTCGTTTAACTCTATATCAAATTCTTTTTCGTGCAAAATTATTTACTTAGTAGAAAGATGAACATCGTCATTTAAATCAATTTATTATTCATTCTGCTTTGGATCTTGTAGAAGAGTTACAATGGAATACTAATGCCATGTATGATATATAATTATTTATTAAAAATTTTTACACGTTACGAATATTTAAATTTATTTTTTATAGGTATCTTAAATCTGTAGATAAATTTAATGAATGGCATATTTCTGCTTTCATTTCGGCTGGAAGTATCCTTTTAAATTATTATAATGTCGTAATTCTATGAATCATGTTAGTTTATATATTTCTAAATGGTTAAATATATAGATATCAAGTTTATGTTATTACATGAATCTAAAAATGAAGATAGCATTAGAAATTTTTTTAATGAATGCCACGAGTCGTACATAAAGGTACATATTTGGTAATTTAAAAATTTATTATTTAAATATTGTTATGTTAACTTATATGTTTTTTTTTAATTATTATTTAAATAACAAAAAGATATTAATGAATCCATTCTATGAGATTAATTCTCCTATCACCTCAATTGGGTTTGATACCAAAGTTCGTTATGCTGCTAAAAGATATTTGTAAAAATCCAAGGATTTAATGTAATTTTAATATTTCATTTGATTTTTATTAAATATTATTTAATATATTTTTTTAAAAAAAATTTTGTTTCTCCATTTTTCCCAAATTATAATTCAGGTGAGAATATGAAAATTTTACTTACCTCTAAAGAAATAAAAAAACTATTAAAAAGATTAACAAATGATTGAAAGACTAAATAAAATGTCATTCAATACTTATGGTGCTAAAGTAAGGACAATAGGGTAATTTCGCTTAAGCAATTAATTAATTTATGCTAGAAGATAAAAAATTTTTTTTTTTTTAAAAAAAAAAAGATTAGAGTTTAATACGAAACTCACCTATCTTAGAGATCATCGTAAGCTATTATTTTACGTTTATGTCCTTGTGCTCTTGGATCTAACGGTGATTGCGAAGGTGGAACTGGAACTAAAAATATGAACTTTTAATTTAACCTTATAGATTTCAATAAATATAATTTGATGATAATACCTGTACTGTTAATTGTTGTGGCATATTGAGATGAACCATTCATATATGGAGCTGTTTGAAATGAATATTGAATTCCGTATGCAATTTGTTTAATGTCATTCTGCTTAGCAGTTGCACCATCTATAAAGGAAAATAAATATATCAGGCAATGTGTATTATAACTATTTGTCTTATGTTAACTATATAAAAAAACCTGCATCACTCCAAGGAACATTTCCGAACCCGTTTATATTTCTTTCTGGTCTTTTGGCACGATTTACTAAAAATCCACATATAATTTAGCATTCAATGTTTAATAAAGAAACTTAATTGCTATTATTATTAATTAAATACCTTGTATATAGCCTGAACCTAACAATGTTCCGTCCATCTTACGACGAGCTTCAGTCGCGTTTTCTTCGGTATCAAAATCAATGAAAGCGATACTGTGCGTATATTTAAAAATAAATAAATAAAAAACCGAAACAAAAAAATAAATGATGTAGGACTCACCCCTTTTCAGAAACCATATTAATATTTTCTATATCACCGAATCGTTCAAAAGCCATATGTAATGCACGTTCAGTAACATCCTTAAGTTCGCCGACGTATATTTTTTTGGTGTAAAACTCGGTGTCAATATATTTACTTGCTACTTTATATTGCTACAATATCAAAAAGGTTAATTAGCTACAATTATAATAAAGATGGTTTAAACAACGAAGAAAAACATACATCTTCATAATTATTATTTGACCATCTCCTTCCTTCTGTTTCATTGTTTCTATCCAACGACCGACGACGTCTTCTGCTGTTACTTCGCTTTCGCTCATACTCCTCCTCACTATCTGAAGAACGACGCGACCAAGTCCTAGACCGTTTCCGATCTCTATACCTATTACCATCATCATAACGATAATGATCCTCTCGGTCACTATCTGAGTATCTGTTGTAACTAGATCTCCTCGGAACATATCGATCATAATGAAGTTGGCGACCGTGGTCATTTCTTGGATGATAATGACTTGAGCGGGAATCATAATAGTCATCAGATGAACGTTTCCGCGAGGAACGTCTGCTACTACTACTATATCGCCGTGATTCAGATTTATAACGATCATAGTCACTGTAATCGCTATGATCATGATCATCTTCACGTTGTCTACTATCACGTCTTAGCATGCGACCGAACTCGTCTACTTCAACCTTTTCACTGTAATATTAAATTAGATTTATAAGAAAATTAGCAATCGAATAGGTTAACATAAGGAAATCATTTTTAATCTTTTGTAAAGCGATCAAAACAGTGGTAAACTGACTTATCATTTTCTTCGGTTTTTTTTTTATTTTTTGTTTCTGAACCATTATCTTGTTTATTTGTAGTGGTAAAACTTTCTTCTTTATCAGGTTTACCAGATTGTTGTGAGCCATTTCCTTCAGCCTAGCAAGCAATTGCAATATAAGAACGTTAAAAATTGGATCAGGAATACACAAGGATTAGAAAATTGACTGTAATTAATAATAATGACGAAAGAAAACATACGACCACCATTTTTATGTACGGCAATACTCCCGAAAAAATAGGTTTGGGCTGGTGGGCGTTAACTTTCAAAATAGAGTTGTAAAAAAAAATAAAAGTAATATAAATACTGAAAAAAAAATTTTTTTAAAAAAAAAAATCTACGTTTCACAAGAAAATGTTAAAGAAACATGTGCCTGATTTTTTAAAGTATTCAATTTTTAACACGTAATTTTAAACGTAATTTGACGTAATAAAACTAGAATTAGGAATAGTTCTTGACATTCACGCATAAATACTAATTCAGGTTCAAAATTTTTTTTCCATTTATTCATTTATTTCTAATTTTTGACGAGACTTTTTTTTACATTCACAAACATGACTCTTTACTATTTTTTGGTTTTCGTTTTATTAGTTGTTGAGGTATATTTTTTATTCTTTATGTTGTTTATTATATATATATATATTTAACTAAGCAAGTTTTTCTTTCGTGCCTAAGTGTTTGGCATTTGTAGTTTTAATCGTAAGTGTTAAGCCGATTAAATTAAGGTTATTTATCTTAAATTATCTTTTGAGAAGTACTTACCTCATTATTTTAACAAGCTACCTTTTCCACGCGTGTGGAGACGCGCTGTTTTGCGATGGGTGTCGAAGTCAGATTTGGTAAAACTCGGACATATTTTAGTCAATTCCGCGCATATTAAAGTTATGTATTAACATTTCTTATTTATAAGGTTGCTAGGTCCCAAATCGCAATAAAATTCACTTTTATGTAAGTTAATAAAACGTTTTTTTTTATATTTGATCTGTTAACTTATCACATTATTATTTTTCAACAGCGCTGTTTTGATCTTATTTATAGGTAAGTGACAGAATCATAATTTTAAATGATTCTTGAATTAATATATACATACTATCGTTATTTAGATGCCGCCAACCGCACGTTTAGTGTCCAGAATCAAGAAAAAACTGATATAAATGATACTAGAGCAGAAGTTGCACATCATGCTAAAAAATTCTATAATCAACGTAATATGTAAGTTACCTTGTATTTGAAAAATAATATATAGATTTAATGATCTTAATGATATATTTATAATTTAATAGGTACTTGACAGGATTCACGCTTTTTTTGTCGTTGTAAGTATTACTGTGAATTTTTTCGCGATCCAGGTTCAATTTTAAGTTACATTAATATCTTACTTTGATTAACACTTGATAAACAGGATTCTTAATAGAACATATGTATTGGTTGTAGAATTGTTGGCGGCTGAAGATAATCTCGAAGTCATCAAAAAACAGGTCAGGTTAAACATATGATGAAGTAAAAGTCTATAGTTCGTATTTTTATTAATCTCTTTAAACGTTATTAAAATATTTTTATAGGCTTCCAATCAGTCAAAAGAGCAATTACGTTTCGGAGAAATCGAGGAACGAATGAGGAACGAAATTGAAGCTTTATCGAAGGAATTGGAGGAGGAAAAAAAGAAAGAAAGAGATTTTGAAACTTTAAAGAAGCAAGCAAATCAACAAGCTGATGAATATAATAGACTAGCTGACGAATACAATAGTCTTGAGAGACAAGGAAGTTCTGAAAGCAAAAAAACTAGTTAAATATGAATCTTATTGGGCAAATTAAAATTATTGCTAACTATATGAAGATAGAGATAATAACCCCTATTTCATCGTTGTATACTCAATATCACGCAGTATTTGTATCTATTTCAAATTCAAATGATAAATAATATCAGTACAAAATTTGAACATTATTATGAAATTTTTTTTTGCATTATACATACATTTAGTGTTTCAATAAAAATTTAGGTTGAATAATTAGCAATAACTATTATTAAGGAAGAAAAAAATGTTTTTAAATAAATTTTCCTCTTTTTATAAACTATCTCATTTAATCTTAACCGTTCATAATATCCTGGTATGACATGATCCTACTCAGTTTCACCTCCAATTAAAAATTATATTCGGCCTTATATTATTTGTTGATAAAAAAAATTAAGCACGACTAAAACTACTACTACAAAATGATTTTCTACAAATATTCATTCGACTTCAAGTCTATTGATTCCAAATAAACGAACTTTATGCAATTGGGGTAATTTTGCTATAATTACCACTGCCAAAAATGTAAAATTGACCAAAAAAGTAATTGCATCATAATGTGTATAATGTGTACTAAGTAAAAATCTAAAGAGGAAAAAAATTAATAAATTCAGATTTAAACTTAACAAAATTAATATATTTAACTTGCTTACATACAATCCAATTGGTAAAGCTGTAAGGTATTTTTTAGCGGGAGTAAATTGTGCTCCATTATCGATTTGTTCCCATAATGTTAATCCATCATAGGCTCCCGAATTAAAATCGAATGGAACTCCTTTTACCCAATGAAACATCACAAAACTGCCCTAAACCCAAAAATTAAAATAAAATTAGTTACAAAATTGAGGGGAAAAGTTTTCGTAAGAGAATAATATTTACGAGCATATATGACAGATTGGTTAATGTCCAACTAGTTTCAGAAGATACTCCAGGAACACTACTAAGCAAAATCTTGACGCAAATAATCAGAATAATATGAACTAACCAAGCACCTAAATGATAAGAAATTAGACAATTCAATCGAAATGAATAAGTAAGGATCCTTCAATTTATAAAAAAAATGCAATAAGAATCAATCGATAATTTAATGAGGAAAGAATAAAACTTGTTCATTATAATTTTTTTTTTCTACCTTTATAGTACACCCAATTAGAATTTAAGTTTGGTAGGGCAAATTGGTCTTCATCGTAAGTAGTTGGTTTTTCAGTAGTAATAAAACTTCTTGATCTACTTCTCGCCATATTCTTGGAAAAAAAAAAAATAACGAATATTTCTTACAATAAATATTTATAAGAAAAAAAAAAAAAGTTTAAAAGACACGTAAAGAAAAAAAAAATAAAGTTACGATAAGCCTATTTTAATAAGTAGAAAAAGCTTAAATATTCAGGAACTTCCTATTAGAATAACTATGATCGGTTTGGAAAAAGCCCGAACAAAAAATATTACTGAATGAACATTACCCAGGATTGTTGATATTTATCCTAATACGCAAATGTATCATTCTTTGATCAGGTGAAAATATGCAACTCTAATAAGATAAGGTTGCCGCATTCAACATTGTCACATTTGTACAATTGCTTAAGTAGACATTGATCGGCACACATCTTTTACACGTCTTTTTTCAAATGAGTAGTTACGAACCAACCGATATCCGTCAACGCGCTGCTAAAACAATTGAAATACAAGAACCTTTACTTGATGGTGGGGATAGTAATGTTCAACAACGTATAAAAAGGCCAAGGCCTTCACTTATTTTAAGAATATTAATTGCAATAAAATGGATTATTATTGTTTTTATTATTTCTTGGTATTTTGACGCATTGCAAGGTATCAATCAAGTATTAGAAAAAGATACTTTGAAAAGGTTAGAAATCCAGTTTCTTTCATATTCATTTTTAATGATTTTTTTTTAAAAAAATTTTTTTCTTTACTTTTTTTTTAGAAAAATATTTTATATATCATTATTGGCACTATTAAGCATGTTATTGATTTTTATATATCTACAATATTATATTCCATTTACAAAAAAAGCTTCACCACCAAAATATTCATCATGGAATACTGATGATACTTTAAAGAAATTTATTCCCATAGCTACTTTTATGGGTTTAATAGGTGTTGTTGGTTTATTGTTTAGTTTTTGGCATATTTGGGGATTTTTTGGTACCCCTTTAGTAATATTTTCTGCATTAAAAAGTATTATTCATATTATAAATATTCTTTGAGTAAAATAATATTTGGTAATTAATATAATATATATTCATATCTATTGATTGCATATTAAGTTACAATTATATGTATTATATTCAACACTCGAATCCCACATTTTTGAGCGAAACTTTTTTATAATAATATTTCAAATCAAAATTTTTCGTCAAGCTTTGTGGGTATACTTAAATCAATTACAAAGCATGAAACGCGTCAATAAGTCGTGTATTCAGTTATCAAAATTGATATATTTATTAATCACCTTAAATATAAAATGTAATATCCTTTATTCCTTTAATGTTTATAAATTATTTTATAAATAAATATATACAATTAATTGTTAATTTTGAGGATCAAATATGTATTGTGTATGGTGTATTAAATATAAATTTTGCAAGATTAAATGTATATTAGTATTATATACATATATTATATATACATTATTCTTCACTGAACAGTTAAAATATGCTTTTTTGCCTCGGAAAATTATACATTTTTTCTCTCTCATAACTTTCTATTATTTTATTAATCGACATCGCATTATCCTGCGCTTTTTACTAAAGCAATAATATATTAATAACAAAAAAGAAACACATTAAATTTGAAGCTAAAATTATTCATTGCTTCATATTTTCTCATGAAGAAAGATTGTTTTCATAAAATATTATGCATTGAATTGTGCACAATTATTAGTAATAAATATTTGATTCATTTAGATGGGCTGGCCAGTAGCAGTTGTCATGGCTTTGTTAGCCTTTGCTTGTGCTACAGCCGCAAGCTTTTGTTGATGGCCGGCGGAAACGACAGGCTTCCTGACCGACCTAATTTCATCGGACGCGAAGCCAGGAATACGTATATTCCAGTTTCGTTCTAATAAAAAGAGGTAAATTAGAAAAAAAGTGATTTATCCTAATTTTATTATAATCAAAGTATTACTTACCCAGATGAAGTTGAAGATCTTTTACCTCCAACGTGTCCGATTTGCGATGTTTAGCTAACAAACACGCAAATGAGGCCACTGACGAAATAAATTCGTCTGCAATTTCGAGAAGCATCTATCAATTATACATATTAATTATATTAATTTAATATTAAGTATATAATGATATATTATATATTATAAATAACTCACCTCTTCAACTTCAGGCTCTAATCTCTCTTTTGGATCTATTTGATCCACTAACTGCTGAACTTTTCGTTTTGGCAAAAGATGTCGAGCCCCTGCACTTTCCGCATCAACATCCATCGCAGCGGACGCGGGTGTTTCAGGAAAGCTCGCACTGCTACCAAAAACGCTTGCAGGAGCTTTGCCTGCCTGACCTTGAGGTATTTTTCCAACAGCTTGACTATTTAATAGTGTCGATGAAAGAATATTCGTACTAATGGCCGGAGCTATCGGAGGAACTTGTCGAGGAGCAACATTTGATGTCGATATTATAGCCGAAGATTCCGCATCAATTTCCATCATATCTTCATTTGATCCTTGTGATGGATGTTGCTGCAACTGCTGTTGCTGTGTTAAAGGAGATTGTGGTGGCATCGGTCGTTGTCCAAGTTGATGTTGCATACCCGGAGATATCATTGAACCATCCTGAAGCTGACCAGTAGCCATACTCGTAGAAGGATAGATAGGTGATTGCATTTGTACCGATGTCGTAATAGGCATCCGATTTTGCCCTAACGTATTCATTGTATTCATCGGCATCGTCCTTGGTGATGATACATTTGTTGGAGATCTGATTGCTTGGGAATTCATAAATGATTGCGAAGACATATGGGGAACTGCCCCTTGAAATTTTTGTGGCATAGTTCTTAGAATATTTATTTCTTGTTTAACCGCAATATTAGGATTCTTTTCGGCTATTAATTGGTGTGAATTATGGATATTTTGATATTCTAAAGGTCTAGTCTGTACAATTTGTTGTCTATTTTGATGATGATGTGCTTGCTGTTGCTGCTGCTGTTGTTGCTGTTGTTGCTGTTGTTGTTGTTGTTGTTGTTGTTGTTGTTGTTGTTGTTGTTGTTGTTGGTGCTGTTGCTGTTGCTGCTGCTGCTGCTGCTGCTGCTGTTGCTGTTGTTGTTGTTGTTGTTGTATTGTATGTTGTTGAGGTCTTTGCACTGATAACATTGGAGTTGTCGATGACATTGCGGTTGTAACAGCAATAGGACGAGTTACTGTGTGTGGAGAAGAAATAGACGTTGAGGTAGAAGATGTCTGATCTTGCGTCATCGATAAATTGTAACTTGTTGCAGGTTGGTTATTTTGATTGTTTATATTGATTTGTTGTATCGCGCTCATCGTATCCTCATACTTTTTAAACATTTTCATACCTTCTTCAGTTTCAACACCCAATTGGTGAGCCTGATTAAGATAATCAGTAGCCATTTGATTTAAATATTGAGGTAATTTCGAATCTTCAGAATTACTTTTTTCGAAAGGTGCTGTTTTAGTACGTCCACCTCCAGTACTAGCTTTTCTTGTAGTAGTCGCTCCTTTTTTTTTAGCATTTCCTCTAATTACTGCTGCTCCACGTCCCGCTCCTACAGCTGTACCTACAGACATATTTGGTTGTATTTGAGGAGATAAAGACGTTTGCTGTTGTGAAGAAGGTTGTATAGAAGGCTGCTGTTGTATTGAATTTTGTATAGGTGTTTGTGGTTGTTGCTGTATTGAAGGCGATTGTACAGGTTGTTGCATTTGATGTTGTGGCGATTGTTGCATTGAACCTTGTGGTGTCTGTTGCATCTGTGGTCTTGATTGTTGTGAAATTTGTTGTCCTTTCATCTGAAGTTGTTGGTTTTGTAAAGATAACAGTAGTTAAACTTGTTGATTATTTTTGAAGAGTAATCTTGTAGACAGATTTGAAAGGTTTTTTTACGTTAATGGTTAAAGAAAAAAATAATCTTTGTGAAATGCTCTCCTTTTTAAAGTCACGTGATAATCGCTGTTTGTGAACGGAAAATGAAAAAAGTTATTACTTTTTGAAGAACAAAAACCTATGCTTAGGGTCCCGTCTTCCTTGATTCGACTGAACACTATTAAAATTGATTAAAAATGTAAATAAATCATTCTTAAAATGTTTACAATATAACGAGATCATGTGATGAATATAATTTTTTTAGTTAAAACTTTTTATTACTAATATTAATTTTTATTATAGAAAGTTAAATGTACTAATAAAAAATTTTTTTTTAATACAAAAATAAGTTAACCTATAATTGTAGAAACTGTGTATTAATTTTCTTTCTTATTTTGATATCATATCATTTTAATTGTTAATATACTGTACAAATAAGATATTACACAAAGTAAAATCCTCCAAAAAAAAGTTTATTAATGTTTAAAATCCCAAATCCTAATTTCACAATCTTCACTTCCCGAAACAATCATCGTATCACCTAATGCAACACAATTAACTGCACCTCCATGTCCAACTAAAGTATGCATGCATTTCCCTGAATCTTTATCCCAAATTTTTACAGATTTATCATGAGCGCCACTAGCCACTCTAAGCTTATCGGCTGCTAAAGACCATACACCTTCAACATGTCCAAATAATGTATTTATACATTTTCCTGTTTCAAGTGACCACATTTTAATCGTATTATCTAAAGACCCCGAAATAACAATGGGTTCGTCAATTTTATCTGGATCATTGCATTTTGAACGTTCTTTATGTGATGTGTTGGCAGAAGACGAATTAAATACTGAACATAATACGGTAGGTTGAATGCATTGGATTGAAGCGACATGAGTTTCTTGACTATCAAAAACTTTAGTACAGGTTTTGGTGATCAAATCCCAAATACGTATCGTTTGGTCATCAGAACATGATAATAATTGTGATTTCTGATAAATCACAACACAATTAACCCATGCCGTATGTCCCCTCAAGGTTGTACATTTACTTGTAGAGAAATTCCAAACCTTGATTGTATGATCAGCAGAACCACTAGCAACAATACGATTGTCAAAGTGAAGCGAAACAACTCCATCTGTATGACCTTCAAGTGTGTTAAGACATTGACCTGTATGATAATTCCATAACTTTAAAGTGTGATCCATTGAACCGGTAATAAGCTTTACATTATCAAACTGTAATGCTTGTACACAACGTGTATGTCCTTTCAAAACATGAATTAACTCTCCAGTATCAAGATTCCAAACACGAACAGTCTTATCAAGGGATCCAGTGATAAGACGATTATATTCCTCATTAAATTGAAGACATAATATTCCATCAGTGTGTCCTTTTATTGATCTAACAGTATATCGACCCTTCCGCCAATTGCGTTCAACAACAAGACGTTCACTATAAACTTCTTTCCATGGTCGAGTTTTATGAGGTTCCAACGTTATAAAAGGTATATCAGGATATAAAGGTATTGTTTTGTCCTCAGATATACGAACACGTTTTACTTCTCTTATCTCATCCTGTGAATCGTATGATGGTGTATTCGGTGTTGAAGGATTAGTATTTGAAGGGGAGGATACAGGTGAAGTATGATGTTGTAAATATTTCATTGAATTATGTGCGTCAGCAGCAGAAATACACGTTGTAACTACAGGTGAATCAATGGATGTTTCATTTAATGCAGATCGTTTCCCGTTTCTTTTCTGTTTCTGATCCAAGAGAGGTAAACCCCAACCACACTTGTAACATTTTTTGTCTATGTGTTGTTCACATAATTTATGCCAAACTACATCATCATCTGCCATACGTTTCCATGTTTTGGATACTTGAGCAGCTTGACATAACGAGATTGCATCAAGATAAGAAAGGATTTTAACAGAAATTTCGCTCGGAAGAGCTACAATAAAATCAATACGAATTAAATCCTTTATATAATTAGAAACAAAGGATAATTGAGTAAGACAACATTGAGTCAATATTCCTTGTAATATTACACAACGGTTCTGTGGAGGTGCCTCAGAAAATGTTTTAAATATATGTGCAATTGAATCTTGTTCTGAAAGGGATAATTTTGAAATTTGCTATAATTTTTTTAAAAAAAAATTATTCAAATAATAATTAAAATTAGAGGTGAATAAAATAATTTATCAAATAAAAATTTTATAAAAAAGCGGGAATAATACCTTTTGTAATTCTTCATTAGCAAGTTCGTCAGCCATTCTTTCTTTTACGAGATCAGGACGATGACGGTAACAATAATAATTTCTAGGTCGTTCTTGTTTATTATATGCGTTTTTTATTAGAGAAGGATCGAGTTCAAGTTGTTTATTATAAGAAGAATCTTTAACTTGAAGTCTAGCAAAGTCTAAATCTGCGGTAAATTCTTGATTTTCTTGCATAGTTAAAAAATATATATATATGGTTACTTTTTATATAAAAAAATAATGAACAATAAAGACTATGACTATTGATAAAAATAAAAATAAACAAAACTGTATTATTCTTAAAAAGAAAAAATAAATAGCGAATTAAAAAATTTGAGAATAACAAATAGTTGATCAATATAGTACGTGAGCCAATAGGTAAGTTACCTAATATAAAAAATTAGGTAATAGAATATCTTGCGTCAGAAACATACCACTTTAGATCATTACATTCCTATACTATATAAAAAAAGAAAATTCCTCATAATAGAAACTCCTAACCATTTAAACCCATTTATCAGATTATGATAATTATGCATGCTATTGCACCATTTTGATGCCATCTTTATAATGGGAAAAAATAACCATATTTATTATTTTAATGAGAGAAAAATAATTATTTTCTCATAATTTTAAATATTGTAAATATTGCAATTTCCCGCGAAATCCTTAACATATTACAAGATATGAATATATTGAAAATTTGTAGATAGATATCATTCTATCAAGCCTTTTTTCTATTTCCAATAAAATGATAAAACTGTAAATAGATGCCCGTCACAATATTAAAAAGGGAAAGCTTTCAAAGTATTAGCCACTTTAAAAAAAAAAGCCGTAAATCCGGTCATATGTTATTCAAATATTCAAATCCAGATTCTTCCATAGTTCCATATCACCTCAGAGACAAAGAAAACGTAAATTTATTTATTTTATCCTAATTTGTTTAATCTAAAATGTGATGGCTTAACTCAATGTAGATCATTCAGGTTATCACACTAATTAATTAAGGAGATTTTGATAAGAAATTGTAACTGAAACAATAACAAAAAATCTTATGACCATCCCAACACTGCCAATTATCAGATCTTTTTTTTTTTTTAAGATTATAATAATGAATACCGACACATTTTGTTTAATAAATATGTGAATGTGCTAAAATATTACGTTAGTATATAATATTACTTCATTATCCAAGCTTGGCGTAGTATATTCTTGAGAAGATCCGAATAGGTCCACCCAATACCACGTGCGGACAAACTAACTAAGCTATCTTCGATATCACGTCCGGGGCGTCCGGGTCCTGTTATGTTCGGTTTCATATTTAAATCAAACAAATAAAATGGCTTCCCTTGTGCTATCCTACGACAATCAATGCGAATCGGAGCTAATGATTTTATAATCTGGCCAGCTCGTTCACAATCTCGCACAACCTTTTGATAGGTAGGATCTTGTAATTCCACACTATTTAATAGTTCACTATTTTCCACCACAGCCACAACACCAGAATAAGGAGCAACACCATTGTGATGATTAAACCGTTTTACTGGTGGTAAGTGCCAATGATTATCAAAATTGGTACTTTTAAAATTAATATCATATGTACCAGGAGGCATGATAACAACAGTTATTTCATCTCCTTCCAAATATTGTTCAAGAATTAACGAATCTCCAAATTCATTAGTTTTAGAGGATAAAAGCTCTTCAGCATGTGCTTTGAGCTGTTCCATAGTATCGACTTTTTTAACACCTTGGCTTCCTCGTCCACGTATAGGTTTAAGAACAAGAGGGAAATTAATATTCTCTTTATGTAAAATCTCCACGGTTAAGTCATTTAATCCGTAAATACCATTCCGATTTTTGTATCCAATAAGAATTGAATTTGGAACTGGAAGTTCATGACTTCTAATTAAATTATTAGTTACCCATTTGTTGTCATATTTTTGCGCTGCCTCAGGTAATTGGCCAATAATTTTAACATTATATCTAAAATTCAGTGGATGAGCATCAAATAAGACGGTATTCGCCCAAACTGTCTTTGCTCCTTTTGAAATAGCGGTATTTATTCCTTCCTCTGTATCAGGGAAAACCCAATCCATATCTGATGAAGGATAAGGATTATCTACTGGAGTGACCATAGGTATGCTATTAGATTTTAATGAATAAGCAATATCTGCTCCGCTATCGCTATAACCTCCAGGTTTCAATGGTTTCCGAGATCCATCAATTATAGGAGGTTTCAATGCTTGATATAATATGGCAACCGGAGTAAATTCCTTAAATTCAGGGTTATATATAAAGTTAAACTGATATTTAAATTCTAAGTATTTCTTTTCGATTTCTATTAGATTTTGATTTAATCTAATACCTGTACTTATTTGATGTTTGAGGTTAGGAGTTTTCCGATCGTTTTTATTATTATCTATTAAATTTCTAACCGAAATATTGGCATCACTATTTATCCAAACTCTATGCATTTTTCGATTTCCTATAAATGCATCTTGACCATACAAAATCCTATAATTATCTAATATAAGGATTTGATTCTTCTCATCAGGAATGACCTTAATTTGGAATTCTGGGTTCATATGATAATTTTGATGTAGAAATTTTATGGCCTCACGAGACCAATCTGGCACAAATACTTTTGAATCATAACGAAAATGTACTCGAATACTATCATCTGACATTCTCTCGTAAACAGGAAAACTCGAAAAGGATTCTCCGTTTTGACAAAAAGAAATACATCCAGGTCTCATTAAAATCTCGGCTAACTTTGGTCTTTCATCCAATATTGATTCTAGAACCTTCTTACTATCAACAAGTACGAGTTCTCCTCCTTTCACATTATCCTCAACATATTGAAGTAAAACCATTTTAGGAGGGCTCATTTTTGTACTTTGAAAAGCTTCATCCGTATGTGGAAAAATCACTTCCTCAATAACATTATTTTCAACATGAGCATGAATTGTTCCTAGAGCCTGAGAGACAGTAATGAGAGTTGAAATATCAGAATCCCAGACTTGCAAAAAAGATATGCCCTTATCCTCTATCGCGCTTTTAATATTTAATACAGAATCATTGAGCTTATCTAAAGAATGGCAATAAATTAGTGGAATTTGCTCCATTTTTACATTTTTTATGAAGAAAAAAAAAAAGTCACCAAAAAATTAAAAAAAAAAATTAAATGATAATCATCGCTTATCTCACATGATGATCGGAGACATTTAAAAATCAATTGTAAATCTTACCTAATCACTTACGAAATTAAAGTTCGTTTGATAGTTTATTCCTTCCCAAAAAGAAGTCGTCAGTTTTGAAACGTCACATTGTGACTACTGGGGGGTGATGATTGTCTTTAATGTCTTAATTACCACCGAAAAAATTTAATGTTGCATTTCGAGCCGAAGAACCAAATTTGTCTTTACAATATGCGGTCAATATACCAAATTAACGTAATGAATAATTACGTAATTCTGAATTAATTTACGCAATTAATTTATAAGAGTATGGCGTCTACTATCGAGTTGACGTAATATTTTGCATAATATCTTCCACCCATTAGCCAACGTCTTTTAATTAAATTTTTTTTTTTTTTTTTTTTTTTTGACTTACCATATAAATCTCAGTAAATCGGAAGTTTTCAACTTGAACTCTTATCTTATTATGCAATCATGCCGATCTTGGTAGACCGTTATTTTTTGCCAGTAAAAGGGAAGATAAAAATATGTATAAAATAATTATTACTTTTTATATAAAAAACGTAAAAATTTGGCATAATAATACAGTTATTTAATGGGAGGGCAAGTCACACCTACAGGGTGAACGATATTTTTACCCAATAATTATAATTTATGAATATAAATATAATAATTTTTAAGGGGCGGAAAATGTAAAAAAAATCTTTTTTTTTTTTGAGAAATAAAGATGAATGCAACGAATCATATTAGATATAATAACTTCATAACCAATCAAATATATTCCTGCTAAGGAAAAGCCGGGGGTGATTTTAATTTGTAAAAGTAGATTTTATATCCGGGTTAAACTTTTTATGGATACAAAGTTACAAACAAAATAGTCCCGGTAATTTGAAAAAAATTTTCTTTTTTGAGAAATTAAACCGTGATTTACACAATTAACATTAATTTACATTTTACATGATTTACATTATTGTACCACCACGCGTTCGAAATCGTCTGTGCATATTAAATATTCTATCTTTCAACGCGCGTTAAAAAATTGATAAAAGTAATATCAAGTAATTTATTTATAAATTGAGTAAATATCTAAAACCTTAAAATATAAATAAGTAAAAATTCTTAGATATAAAAACTTAAGATTACTTACAATATCTAATCTTGGGGGAGATTAACTAAAATTATTAATTAATTACTAATTATTATTAATTTGAAATCTATTTTACATTACATTACCATAAAAAAATTGTGGGGTAATGATATTTATATGATATTTAATGATCGAAAATAAAATTGGGAACTTAATCCTAAATTTATATTAACTTTAAAAAGATATAAATTTATCTTTATATAGAATTATAGTTATGCATCATTATTTATAAATATAAATATACCCGTTTTTGATTCGTAACTTCTTTTTCACATGATTAGCACAACATATTTTATATATGTAAGTGTGTATATCATATATAAATGCATTTGATTGAAGGGTTTGATTTTTCCGATTTTTCCGATTGAGAATTTTATTTAAAAAATTGTATTCTTTTCTTTTTCGTTATTATTTTCAAATATTGAATCTTTTTGGTACAAGTTATATGCTATTTCTTTAGCAAGAAAATTTATATTTAAAATTACCTTATCCTTATTTTTCAAAGATGGATTCTCCACAATTTCGTTATTTAAATAAAAAAGAATTATCTTATATTTACGAAGGAAATTCTAATAATGTAACACTTTCATCACTTTTAACACTCTCTCATCCTTTTAAATATTCTCAAATAATTCAATCAATTAAATTTAGTTTAAATAGAATTCAACAATATTATCCAATGACGAGATCATATATTTCAATGAAGAATGATAAATGGTGTTTCTGTGAAAAATCATTTATAATTCCTTCTGATTCTTCTTCTTCTTCTCCTATTCCTCAAAATTTTCCTCCTAAACAAATTTCTTCGATCGTAAAATCTGATATATTACAAAATGAAATACCTTTTAATTGGATAAAAATATCCTCTTCAAATGATACTATTTTAAATACATTAGAAAATTTATGTTCACAAGAAATGACAAATGATTTTATAGTAGAAAATAATTTGTGTAGATTCACTTTAGTTACAAGTGAAAATTTTACAAATCCTTCAAATTCACAAATTATTGATACTACAAAAGAAGTTGGTTTTGTATTTTGTTTCCTTCATACGGCATTCGATGGTAAAAATATATTTACCATTACACATGATTTTATTAAAGAATTTAAAAGAATTCTTTCAAATTCTCAAATTAATATGACCTCCGATTTAATTATTGAACAAGAATTAAAAGAAGGTCAAATAAATAATTTAATTTTACCAAAATATCAAACTTTTTATTCAAATTTAATATTTTTTAAGGAAATATTAATTTTAATTGGTTGGTTAATTTATATGAAACCACATAACCTTCCATTTTCAACGTCATCATCATCACAAATTCAATCTCAATTACAATCTGAGAAATCGGAGAAATTTTATCAAAGTAATCAAACAGAAATTAAAACGATTACATATTTTCATACATTAACAAAACAAGAAACTTCAAATTTAATTAAATTTTGTAAAAATCATAAATTTTCTATCACTTCATTATTATCAACTTGTATATCAGAAATAATTTCAACAAAGAATGGTTATAATACAGTATTAGGAGGATTAGCTGTTGATTTAAGACAATTTTTAAATATTTCTAAAAAAATCAATGGAGCATTTAATTCTTCTATATTAATAAGACATCCAAAAGTTGAACATTTATTAAAAGATGAAAATTTCGATAAAAAATTTTATATGAAATATTTAATTAATAGAATTATAATCACTAATGATTCTATACAAAATTCGATGAAATCCGGTTTTATTTTTCATAATTTAAAATTTTTAATTAATGAACCTATTAAGAATAATAATAATAATAATAATAATAATATAATTATTAATGAAGGAGAGGAAATCAAAAATAATTCAATAATCCCTTTAGGTTACGTGTTGTCTAATCTTGGGATTTGTAATCAAAATATTTTTGATAATGATTCTACGGATAACAACATTATTACTGATTGGAATAATGTTTTTTTATCTTCTACTGCAAAATCATCCAGGGGTAGTAATATTGAAGTAACCACCTTAACTTTGAATGATAAAATGTATATTTCTTTTTGTGCTTGTTCTAAATTTATTTCAGATGAGGATTTAAGAGATTTTGCAAATAATGTGCTTGATTTAATAAGGTTCATATGTGAATATATTTCAGAAAAAAATATTGTAAAATAGTTATACGAAATTTTATTATTATTAGTTTTTATCATGTGATTAATTATTTTTGACCAATCAGAGTACATAATAAAGAGTTATAGTGTTTAAAAAAAAAAAATTACCCAAACATTTCGTGTAGTCAAAAAAATGATCACTGGGTCATGTATCTCCCAAAAAATGTCTTTCTCGAAAAATATCCTTCAAGTGAAGTGACAAAAGGTTAGTGTAAGATTAGTTTCTATCAATCGTAATATAAGCACAATTGTGTGTACAACGATCTTTCCTTAAAAATTTTTCGAGATTTCGTTGAAGGAATTTCTTGTGCGATAATAAAATTTCAAACTTTAGCTTTAACACGATTTATCAAATCATTTAAATCATTTTGATAAGGTTTTGGCAATAGTTACATACAAATTTAAAGATTTAGAAATTTGAAAATGAAATGATATCATGAAATAATTATTTTATTAAATTTTTTATTTATAGAATGCTATTCCGCATGTTATAATTTTGGCGTATAGCAGGGATTACACTTAGAAAGGCTTCCTTAAATGATCTCACTGACGCGTAAGTTTAACCTCTGTCAATTTCTACACAAAAAAATTTTAATTCGTTGTATTCCAAATATTTTTATCAAAATACACCAACATTTGACAGAGGATATATCAAAATTAGAGAGATATTTAAGTATAAAGAACTAATAGATATAAAGATTTAAAGATAATGCAATAGTGATATAGATGACATAGATGAGGTTTATTTATTTTATATTTGTTTGTGAATTCAAGTATATAATACATTTTTATTAACAAAATTATCTAAATTTAAATCTATCAGGATAATCCATAATAAATTTAATGAATTCATCATGTAAATTAGGCCATTGCATTTTAATATAATATAGAATATTATCTTTTTCATTATGTCTATTAGTTATAAGAGGGTGTAATAAAGTAATTACAGTTTTTAATGTTGGTTCAAATCCATTTGATATAATATCAACTTTAAATACTTTGATAGCTTCATCAAAAGCTTTAAAACGACATAAAGCTTCTATATAAGAATTAAAATGATTTAAATTTAATATATACTTATCATTTGAATCATTTATAAATAATTTCCAATGTTTTTTTAAAGTTGTAATGTCACCATAAATTCCAATTTGATCCAATAAAACTGAAATAGCAGATGATAAAACTTCACCAGAATATTTTTCATTTAATTCTTCCCATAATTCTAAAGTATTAGATAATTTACCCAATATTCCATATGAGAGCATTAATACAGGAAAATTCCTTATTTTAAAATCTTCATCAGTAAATTTCATCAATTCATTTATCCATTTATATATACCATCTTTATCTTTCTTTTTATTATAATAAATTAATAAAAGTCTAAGATAATATGAATATTCTCGAATATTTATAAATTTAATTAATTCCAATAATTTTTCTGATTTATTTATCATTTCATTTTTCCAATATGATCGCATTAATAAAATAAAAGCATGAGCGGGTGGAATTATTTTTAATTCCATCATTTCTTGTAAAATTCTTTCCGCATATTTCAATCCATCATTCCAAAGAAATCCCACCATTAAAAAATATCCAATATCTGAATTAATTTTAATATCTGATTTTTTTATCATATTAAAAATTGAAGAAATTATAGAATTTTCTATTTTTGATTCAAATAATCCTTTAAATAATTCAAAAAGGATTATAGGATTTGATTTTATATTTTTTGTTGGTATTTCATGATAATATTTTATTGCAATTTTAACTTTTCCTTCTTTAAAAGAATCTTCTATTAATTGTAAATTCTTAAAACCATTTTGATCTAATTCTTTTTCAGCATAAACTGATATCATATCTCTATAAAAAAATGTCAAATTATTAATATTATTCCTCCTTTGTTGTAATATTAATAAATTTTTAAAAATATCATCATTAAATTTTATTCCACCATCTTTAAAAATTTTATAAATTCCTATTATAATATTTTCATTATAATCATTATATTCTTCAATAGTTTGTTTAATTAATAAATCATTAAAAAGATTTAAACAAATATTTTCATTTTTAATTCCAGATGATATCATTCCTTTTAAAAATGGTTTAATTAAAGAATTTTTTTTTTCAGATCTTATTTTTGAATAAAAATTTGTTATCAAATCTTTTAATAAATCATCATTTAATATTATATTATTAATACGATATAAATTTATATTATTCCATAATAATAAAGAAATTTTATAATTATTATAAAATTTTTTATAATCTTTTTCATAATCTTCAAATAATTCAATAAAAACGTGAACTAAATCTATTATTATTTTATCTTTTTGATCAATAAATTTTATTAATTTCATTGCTGTTTCCACTTTTTCATCTTTTATTAAAGAACTTAAAATATTTCTACTACCACCTGGTATTAAATCAACATCATAATCTCGATAAAATTGTTTACTTGTAACATATAATGATAAGATTTTATTTTTTTCTTCTTCAATTATTGCTTTCTCAATTCCATCTTTTAATTTTATTAATATAATTTTTAATCCTTCTTGTCGTAATCGTTTTCTTTGTTTCATTTGTTGATGTAATGATTCTTTTCTATTTATTATATTAATATTTGTTATTATTGATCTCGTTATTAATGAATTTTTCTTCTTTATAATGTATAATGATCCTTTTGTATTGTAAAACTTTTGTGAAAAAGTTTTAACAAAACCTTTAACTAAAATATAAGAGAATGAATTCATTTGAAGAAAATAATGATTGAAGAAAATTGAAGAAAATAGTGATTGAAAAAATGAAAAAAAAAAATGAAAAAAAACACGATCGATCTTCATAAATAACGAGTTAGGAAGATCTATTCCTTTTTTGTTATAGTCTCATATTTTTATTTAAATAATAAACATAAACAATGATTTACAATCTTACAATATTTAGAACGATACATTCGATACAATAAAAAAAAAAATACAATAATAATTTAATAATACAATAAATTAAAATGAAATTTTAAGAATTCAATGAAGCAATAGCATCAACTTCAATTTTAACGTCTAATGGTAACCTAGCCACTTCAACGCATGCTCTAGCTGGACGCGCTTCTCCAATAACCTAGTAAAAAAAAAAATTCATTTTACGTTATAAAAGAAAGATAACTTCAATTTTTTAAAGTCAATGGTGTATCCAACAGATTTTTCAATCGTTTATCCAATGACCACATCTGATATAATATTTTAATACGAACCTCTCCATATGCTTTATTCATCACATCAAAGTCATTCATATCTTTGATATAAACCGTTGTTTTAATTAAATTTTGATACGAACATCCTGCCGCTTCTAATACTTTTCCTAAATTTTTCAAAGTTTGAATCTAGGAGAGAAAGTATATATATATATATATATATATTTAAAAACTATCAAAAACATATAAAAAAAAAATTACCACGTAAATCTGAAAATTTACCGTTTGTTCCCTAATATCTTCGCTAACAATTTTGCGTGTTTCTGGATCAAGGGGAATTTGTCCAGATACATAAACAAATCCATTTGTTACGACAGCTTGAGCTAGACCAAACTCATAGTTAGTTAGTTATATCATTTGATAAAATAACTAAAGTAAATTATTATTAAAATAGTTAAATTACAATAAGGTCCAGCGGGGCTAGGAGCTTTATTAGTAGAAACGTAATTAATATTTGTGCTCATTTTAATAGTGCGAGATTAAATTTCTTGAAATTTTTTTTCGTTCCTTTCTTTTTTTATGATTTTTTTTTTATAATGAATTTCTTATTATGTTTGTTACCATCTCTCATTGAGTGAATGAAATGGGTAACGCTAAATTCGGCTTCGTAAATAATCATTTTACATTATCATGTTTGTTTATTTTATTGATTCAATAACCTTCTTGTTACGGAAAAATTAAACCTCGATATGAATCTTTTTTAATATTTATTATCTATCTAAATTCAATTTGCATCTAAGTAAATTTGGTCCGATTACTTTTTACATAATTATTGAATAAGCAGCTTTGATATATAATTTTGTCCAAAAAAAAAATGGCGTTATAAAAACGCCAATAATTAATACTTTTATGTTAAAAAACTTGTAACTGCCCAACTTTATTCGAAATTCATTTTTATTTATTTATTTTATTTATAACTAATTAAAATCTAATCAAAATAACACACACACACAAATATTCAGAGAAAAATAAAATAATATAGACAGGTGTAGAAATAGAAATTTGTAATTAACAATTAAAAGGAAAAAAAAATTTTTTTTTTTTCTATAGACTTCTTTCACTTGGTGAAGATATTTCATTTTCGGAACTTCTAGACGAGCGAATAGTTTCCGATGCAGTAATATATCCGCTTGTTGAAAATTGACTCATACAAGTGAAGTAAACATCATTATCGGTCGAGATTTCATCCGATTGTTTTGATTTCTGGGTTTTACTATAACTGAGTGGAAAAGGAACATATCCTCCATACTATTTATCAATTAGTAAAAAAAAAATTTATTAGTTACTGTGTATGAGAGTTTTGTATATCAAAGTTGCTTACCTTAATGAAAGGATGATTCTATTTAAAAAGAAAGCGATAAAATTAAATAAATAAATATGTATTTTAAATATAAAAATATAATAAAAAAATTAAAGCGATTCTTAACTAATGCTTCTTCGACAGGTAGTCTTTCGTAACTATCTTTATTTAACAAAGAACGAACAAGGTCTTTGGCTGTCTCACTGACTCTATCCCATCTCGGAGAATCCATAGAAATTCTTCCAACTCGGATCTTTGCGGCTATTTCACCTTGTCTATCACCAGTGAAAGGATAACTTCCACTTAAACAAGCATATAAGATCACACCAGTACTCCACATATCAACAGCTTTGTTATACGATCGTTTATTGCTCGATTCGAGAACTTCGGGAGCAACTATTTTAAGGAAAGTTAAGTATATTCATAAAAACATATTATTGTATGAATTGAAAAAAAAAAAATTATTTACCATATAAGATGGTTCCACATCTGGTTTGCATAGTAGAGTAGTCTATATTAAGCAATTTTGATAGGCCAAAATCAGACACTTTAATTCTTAACCCTTTTTTGCTTGGCATTAAAATATTTTCAGGTTTTAAATCCCGATGAACGATTTTTCGATCGTGAAGATACTAAAAAAAGGATTATAAGATTAATATAACGTTCATACTTTAATTTACCCTACACTCAAACATTACCTTGATCGCACTTAATAATTGCACAAAAACCATACGAATTTCTTCTTCAGACAATAATCGACTTTTGAATAGATCGAAGAATTCTCCATCCTCTACACTATTAATTTTAAATGTTACGTTTGATTATTGAGATTAATATAAATAGTACTTAAAATATTACCACTTACTATTCAATAACAAGATAGATCTTTTCGGGTTCATCAAAATATTCAAAGATCTTTATCAAGTTCTCCTAAAAAAAAAATTATATAAATTTATATTTAATGACCCTTCATTTATCAATGATCAATATATATAATTATTACTTACATGTGCTAAACCATTTAATATTTGAATTTCAGATTGAATCATCTTAATCTGTGTTTGAACTTCTTTACTAAATTTGGGTTTTTCTAATACTTTAACCGCATAATTGCTTCCGTCACATAAACGTTTCGCAATGTGAACAGAGGAAAAATGACCTCTTCCAAGTAAACGACCAAGCCTATATACTTTATCAAATTTCTTAATATATTTATTTTTATATATATATAAAAATAAACTTAAGTATTATAAAAGATTGTAATGTATTTTATTTGAATAAATAATAACTTACTCCATTAGTCCTGAGATTAACAACGTCAAGTTCATCTATACAAAAAAAAATTAAAAATATTATAAGTAATAAATTATGAAAGTTAGGAATAAGTATAATACTTACAAGTGTAAAGACCACTTGCTACTCTTGACCCGGGAAATGATATCTCAGAACGGTTTCTAATCACTGCAGTAGAAGAATGTTTATCGTCACGTTTTATTAAGACTCCATCTACCATCGTACCCGAGTTGCTAATATACCGATATGGAAGAAATGTTTATAATGATACCGATCAGGAAACCAAAAAACGCTATATAAAATATTATACCTAATATCTTCAAGAATAATCTTTGTTGATGTTACGTCAGTAGAATCAGTAAAATTTTCCTAAAATCGAAAAGAAAAATAAACTAAAACATAAATAAATCATTATTTCGTCATTTATAAAATTTTATTGTTAAATTTTTATATTACTTACAATTCTTATAAGGCAATGACTATCGTTTATGTGTGGGTCAATTGGTAGTTGCTAAAAGTAAAAAATCATTTAGAAACATAATAACATGAATGATTTTATAATAAATAAAATAAATTTATGTTACATGGTGAGTTGGAGCACTATCAGGGAATTTGCCGAGACAGTTAAAAGTTTCGGTAAGAAAGATATAAGGTAAATGTAAACTATCCAAGTTGTTCACTGGTTTAAGTATTGCCCAAGTATTTTGTGGATAACTTATAATTCCCGGGTCGCGGTTCTCAAGAACAAGCGTGGTCGGACGTTTCGGCTTCCTCGTGGCATTTCTCGAAAGTGCCTTCGGTGTTTTCGAAAATTTTGGCATTTCTGATAAATAATAAAATATTAGGTTATAAATACGCGTCATTATTTGAAAAGAAAAATAAAATTAAGTACCTTTTTAACACAGTATATCAACAAAAAAAAAATAAAATAAAATAAAATAAAATAAAAATAAAAATAAATAAAAAAAAAGGGGGGTCAATACAAAATATTATAGAGGATGAGAGAAAAAGAAGAAATTCAGATAAACCATCGAAAAGATTGTAACTAAGCGGGTTATTTTATATTCACTCTTCAAGTGGAATCTATGATAACAAAAATATCATCAGAACCGTGGGAATCAAAATCAACTCAAATCAACAATCACCAAAACTGCTATATAAGGAATGAGTCACTATACTCTCTCTCATAGGTACGAGATCACTAAAAAGACAATGGACAATCAGCAATTTACTTTTATGTAAATGCTAAATAATATGGTATCTTTCTTTATCAGGAATCCTAACAGTTTGTTTATACAGATAAGTCCGATAACAAAAAAAATGTTCTCTTGGAAGTTGGAATTTTTTCTCCTTTTATAATGATTATTTTATAAAAATTTTTCATTAAGATGACTTTCTAATCGTAATACTTGATTTGTTTGACTTACCTCTTTATTAAATATGACATTTTATCGGCAAACAAATTTGTTATCAGATACCGTTGTTTGAATTCAAATACCGATTGTTCAAAAGTATATTGTACTAAATTCTTATTTTGGTAAGTATACAAAAAATAAGGAAAATCACGAATTTCCTATCTTATAAAGAAATAAGGAAAGTCATTGGTACAGTATTACATAAACTATTCCTATCTCATCCACAATCATATTTTTATGGAGTAATGAAAAAAAGCGAGCGAAAAAAAATTCAACCGATAATTCCGGTAATTTCTTGAGTAATTGTTTATAATCATATAATCGTAAATATCATTAAATATTAATAAATTTAGAAAATCATTTTTCTGTTAAATTCCATAAAAAATAGTTGATAAACCTGTAATTGTCAACTTTTAAAGTTTATTTGTGATGCTTATCTTGAAAATTCATCGTTTGTCATGAGTCATTTCACCGATGATCTGATTATCTATGATCGATAACTGAAAAAGATACCGATATGATACCGTATTTTGTATGTGTGTTTGTGTTTCATACGTAATTTCAACTAAATGTTTAAATGGTTATTATATTATAATTTTTTATTTTAATGTAAATTGCAACTTGGTTGATCTTTTTTTAATTTTTAATTTTCGTCCCTGATATTCTCTTTTGACCAGCCTTTTTTTTTTTCTCTCACCAACATCTAGATTACTATTAATCTTTTTTGGGTTTAACCGGGGACATCGGATTTTCTTTTTTGTTATATCATTTGTCGTTTGTTTTGTAAATATTACCCCATAATATATATAATTAACACATGTCGATCCAGGAAAACACCCCTTATATTACTTAACGTCAAATATACAATAGTATAATGAGTCAAAAAAAAGTAATAGAAATCATGGAATTTGGGGAAAAAATCATGCGAAAGTTGTAGACAAATGGATCATGAGAACAAAAAAAAAATCCTTTTAAAGAACAACGGTGATATAATATACGAAAATTTTCCGTGTTACATTCCCAAGTTTGGTTTAGTTGATTTTTAATCAGAAAAAATCATTTTTCTCATACAACCATTTCCTATATAGATTCAATAAAGATTATCATTATTATATTCATTTTTAAAATAGTGTCAATCACTTTTTTTTTTTGACATTGGCGATTCTTTTTATAGTGAGTAAAGGTGAGAATTTTTTTTTATCTTTGAATATGATTGATAGATAAAAAAACAATCATTATAGAAGTATTTATATATTTAAATTTAACCTTATTTATATGTTATTATTTATATTTTAAGTTTAGTTTAAAGCAAATAAATAACATCATAACTGAAATAAGTTTTTTTGTAAATATTATTTATATGTAAATAGGAAATGTAATATAAGTAATAAAGAATCAAATATTGTAATTTTAGTCTAATTTGGTAATTGGGTTTATATTAACTATAATTAATCAAATGATATTTAAATCAGAATAATATTATAAAATTATATTTTAAAAATATTACTTATTGTTATTACATATGAATGATAATTGGTTTTTACATAATATAACAGATAGATATTAACTAATCTTTACTAAAATTTAGCAACTAAATTAATTTTTTTGCAATATACTTTTATTTTACAATTTACATCATTTATATACTTTGAAAATAATTACATTTTATAAAATTTTATAAAACTAAAATTAAGTTAATTTTAACCTTTAATCTTGATTTTTCAAATATTAAAATAGTTAAATTAGATGTTAAATGATCATCTATAATTATTAAAAAAATAATAAAAAGTATTTTGAAAATATTTTAATATTCAATAATTAGAATTTAATAATTTATAATTCATTTAAAAGTTTTAATTAAAATAGATCAAATAATAATAAAATTATATCAATGGTATCAATATTGTATTTTACTTTAAATTTTAGATATTTTTTTTATTTAGATTTCAATATTTTTTATATTATTAAATTGAATTTTTCTAATTATTATCAAAGGTAATGATCACTAATAACTTGAAATTATGATAATTGGCCAGTATTAAAAAAATATAGTGCTGGTAAAAATTGATAATTTTAGCCAATAGTGATGATCATTCCTGGCAATTTAAAATAAAAATCTACTAAATTTGATTTATTAAAAAGAATTTAAAATATTTAAATTTTTATAATTTAATATTATATTATCAAATATATTCTAGTAATATTTAAACAATAAAAATGTAATTTAACTAAATATCATATCCCTTAAACTGTAGAAACTAAAATTAATTTTAAAAATTTTTGAATTTTTAAAATATCTTAAGATCTAGTAATCATAGAAAGATGAAATTATATTTATTAGATTCCTCTTATTAAGGCGCATTTAATGGTAATAAAATCATAACTCTAAAATTGATAAATAAAAAGTTATATTAATTTATAAATTTTTAGTTTAGATTTTATAAGTTATCTTGTCATATAATATTTGTAGAAAGATAATTTTATTTCTATCAGATTCTTCTCATTAAGGCACATTAAATAGTGGTAATTTTATATTTCTAAGGTTAATGGATAAAAAAATATTTCAATTTAAAAATTTAACTACTATTTGTTATAATTTGTTGATCATTTACTTTTAAAAAATCATTAATCAAATTGAACTTCTTTTTGATTTTTACTTAGAAAATACTATAGAATTTATTACAAAAATATTGGTTTACATAATAAAATATTTTAAGGTATTTAAAAGTGTCTTTAATTAAAAAATAAAATTGCAGGCAAATTTGGTTGCAAAATAGTTTAAGGGATAATTGACTAATTTTAATATTAGTAATATTATTTTACAATTATTTAAATATATATATATTGTTAAATTTAATAAAATTTGAAATTTGGAATTGGGATTTAGAATTTGGAATTTAAATTAATTAAAATTTGAAATTTGGAATTTAGTACTATATAAAAATTTGTAATTTATTAAAATTTGAAATTGGCAATTTTCAATTTAGATGACAAGAATCCCAAATATTTAATATATATTGTAAGTTATAATGGATTTTTAATCAAAATCATCTTTTTTTACTAAAATTCAAAAAAACATTTTTTACAAATATTTTGATATTTAGTAATACAATTTTAATGAATATTTTTTTTAATTCAATAAAAATTACAAAAAAAAATTTGACTATTAAATGCTAAAATATTTGCAAAAAATAATTTTTTAAGTTTCAAAAAATAGGCTAATTTACTAAAAATATGATTTATGATTTTAAAAGATATTCAGAATTCTGAATAATATATATATATTTGAAATTAATAATTTTAATTTTATATATAGCATTATTTATTAAGAAATAAAAATCAAATATTAAATAATAATTAATACAAATTTGCATATATAAATTTTTTATAAATTATATTATATGTTATAATAAAATTATATAATTTATTTATAAATATTATAATTTGATTGATTATTAAATTTGATAAGAGAAAGTAAAGTAAATTTATATTAAACTGAATATTATATAATATATGTAATTCTCTTAATATAAAAATAAATTTTTAAATAATTACTAATCATTACAAAATAATTACTAACTATTATAAAACAAATAAAACAATTACTAATCATTATAAAAATAATTACTAATCATTATAAAATGATTACCAATCATTATAAAAAATAAATACCAATTATGGTCCGGTGCAAAAAGATTTGTACATCACTAAAAAAGGACAAGATTTACGCCAAAGAAAAATTTTGTAAAACTAAACATAACGGGCTGAGATTTACATATTTATTAGTAAATAATTGCCCGAATTTGCTGATAAAAATTTTTTTTATTGTATGATACTTCCTTCTTCCTTAAAATGAAGTGGCATACCACTAACAGACAACGAAAAACTAATGATAATAAAGTATGCATAATTATCTTCCAAAGGCTAATTTTACAAAAGAAAGTCATCTGAAGCTTAAATTACGCAAGTAAGTTGCTGAAACACTAATTGTACCAAGGGTACAGTTGGGAGCATTGCATTAGACTGGAATAAGTACAGTGATTGCACATTTACACCACATAAAACACTTTGGATGGCCTAATCCAACTTCAAGCATGAAAAACTGGAAGTCAATATTGTTTTTCAAATGAATTACAAAAACTAGAACTATTGGAACTGGTTTAAATGCACAAGAAAATGGTACTATTTTCTTGCATTAAAATAGCAAAACAATATGATCATGAAGTTTTTATATGTCACCTATTATTATGAACTACAGCCAATTGAAAGTGTTTAAGCAGTTGTAAAAGGTGAAATTGTAAGATCCTAAATTATTTCCTGTTTGAAATACACTTTTAAATGCATTAAAAAATGAAGTCAACTTAAAGATTATAATGAATTTTAGAAAAAAGTGCTTAAAATACCAAGGCATATTTTAGTATATTTTGAGGCTAACGAAAATGTCCAATTAATTAATAAAGAATCTAATAATTATAGTGAATCCAATGGTGATGCACAATTTGGTGTAATAATTATATTATAATATTTCTGAATATATACTAATAAGATTTATATTAAAAAAAATGAAAT